CAAGCACTCTACCAATAAGCCACATTCCCAACCAGAGAAATTTTTTCTTGAAAAGTAAAATGTTCACTATTACTGGCATCTTAGGCTCTTATAAGCTGGTCTTGGTGAATCTTCATACCAGTGCTGAAGATCATAGTTAGAAATTTTTAAAAATCTGGTGGAAACCTAGTGCCTGTGGCTCACACTTTTAATTCTAGTTGTTCAGGAGGCTGAGATCATAGGATCACAGTTCAAAGCCAGCCAGAGCAGGAAAGTCAGTAAGATTCCTATCTCCAATTAATCACCAAAAAGCCAGAAATAGAGCTCTGCCTCAAAGAATTAGAGCACTAGCCTTAAGCATAAAAGCTTACAGATAGCTCTCAGGCCCTAAGTTCAAGCCCCAGGACCAACACAAACAGACACACACACTGAAGGAAAATATATTACAGATATATACCCAGTAAGATGATTTTTTTTTCAGAGTCAAATACACATCCCTACACATATAAAATTAGTGAGCAATTCTTAAATATCTTTCATCTAAACCTTTATAAAACTGTTAATATTGGGCTGGGAATGTGGCTTAGTGGTAGGGTGCTTGCCTACCATTCATGAAGCCCTGGGTTTGATTCCTCAGTACCACATAAACAGAAAAAGCCAGAAATGGCACTGTGGCTCAAGTGGTAGAGTGCTAGCCTTGGATGCAGAGAGGCTCAGGAACAGGCGCCCAGGCTCTGAGTTCAAGACCCAGGACCTGTTAATATTGTACAGTAAGCTGACAAAAACATTTTGAAAATGGGAATGGTGGTGATGGAGTATCAGAATTTGAAAAAAAAATCACCTCAGAAGAAAAGAAACTAATTGAAAACTAAGAAATATAATTAGGAGAGTAGAAATATAGTTAGCTTAGTTGGAGACCTTGTGCTTGGCATGCATCAGGCTTGAGTTCAGTCCTCACCTCCAAAAAAAAAAAGAAATACAGGACTGGGAAGGTGGCTCAGTGGTAGACCGCTTGCCTTGCATGCCTGAGGCCGTGGGTTCGATTCCTCAGCACCACATAAGCAAAAAGAAAAAAGCCGGAAGTGGCGCTGTGGCTCAAGTGGTAGAGTGCTAGCCTTGAGCTGAAGAGCTGAGGGACAGCGCCCAGGCCCAGAGTTCAGGCCCCACGACTGGACCCCAAAAAAAACAAAACAAAACAAAAAAAAAGAAATACAAATTGAAGATGCTTAATGAAGTCAATTTTAATCAGAGAAAATAATCTTTGTCCTTTTTGTTAAATTGTCCTTAAGAGTCTTAAATTCATGGGAATTAAAAGCTGACTTTGGAAGTGGTGCTGTAGCTCAAGTGGTAGAGCACTCACCTTGAGCTGAAGAGCTCAAGGACAGCGCCCATGCCCAGAGTTCAAGCCCCATGACTGGCAAAATAAAAAATTTAAAAAAAAATCTGAACTTTATGGTCCCTTATTATTTTTTCCAGAACTTATGGGATTCTTTTAGAGAGGCAATAGTCATTTAAAAATAACTAGAAGGGATATGTCAAGGAGGTAGCTAAGTGGTAGAGCCTGTGGTTAGTATGTGCCCTGCTCTGGGTTCAATACATAGCACCTCACTCCACCCCTCAAAAATACTTGAAATATGCTCCAACTATCCCCTAACATTTTGTTGATGTTTTCCTGTAGGAAAGTTAACCGATGTCCATGGGAATGCCCTTCAGTACAATAAGGAGGTGAAGCATATGAACTCTGCAGGTGTCCTGGCCACACTAAGGAATTATGACTACTATGCAAGCCGAGTCCCAGAGTCTGTTAAGAAAGCACTTGTTCCTTAAAGGAATCATTTACTTAGCCTCGTGGACTTGTTTCTCAAAACAATACATTTTAAAGCTGATTGGAAGGAATTAGAACTCTTTATTGATTGTTGATCAGTGACTTGTATTTGTTACTTAGGAATAGAAAATAGCTTAAAGAATTTATCTTTCTAGGGATCTAATACACCTATACCTTGGACATATAATAAATTTTGTGTGTTCTTTTTCCTGTTGGGCATGGTGGTACACGCCTGTAACTCTCAACTACTTGAGAGGAAGGGGACCTCAAATTCCAAGCCATCAAGATCAGGCTGGGCTACACAGGAAAAAGAAGAAAAAACAAAACAAGAAATTTAATTTTATGAACAAATCAGCCAGACTGGTTTACATACAGAGAGAATTTATAAATTCAGTGTGAGGTCTTTTTTTCTCTTATTTTTATGTGGAAAAATGGGGGGAAATGTTTAGTTCTACCTTACTATCTAGATCATTTATTTAATCAACATTCCGAAACCAGATTTCTTTAGGGCACAAAATATTAAGTTGTTCTAGTATTTCACTTATTTTTCAGGGTAATTTTTAAAGCGCTCTTACTCCAATTATAAATATATATATAATATTACTATGTATGTTGGGAAAGTTTCTTTAAAATAAATTATTAAATCCTAGTTTTTTTTTTTTGTTGTTGTTGTTTTGGGGTTTTTTTTTTGTCGGTCATGGGGCTTAAACTCTGAGCCTGGGCGCTGTCCCTCAGCTCTTCAGCTCAAGGGCAGTGCTCTACCACTTGAGCCACAGCACCACTTCCTGAATCCTAGTTTTTTATGTTATTTATCAGCTTTATAGAATTATTTGAAAATTATAAATTCTTTATTATGAGATTAATTCATTTTCATTACATCTTTATAAAGCTTTATAATGTCATGTTGGGTACTGAGGATTGACCATAAGGCCCCAAATCTCCAAGGCAGATTCTCTACCACTTAAGCCATGCCTTCATCCCCTTTTTGAGTTTGTTGTATTTAAGATAGAGTCTTGCTTAATGCCTGGGCCAGCCTAGGCTGCAATCTTCCCTGCTATCTTCTGCTCCTTGTACTTCCTCCTATTCTGAGGACGACAGGCTGTGCCACTATGCCCAACCATTAGTTGTGATATAGAATCTCATGAATTTTTATGCCTGGGCTGGCCTGAAACCACAGTTGCTGCCTTTCAAGTAGCTTGAATTATAAGACTTGAGCTACCATGCCTGCTTATACTTGATCTCTAATAAAACCATGTTTTTTTAAAATCCTGTTAACCTTTAGAAGCAATTTCCCTTAATAGTGATGGTCTTCAAGAAAGTAAGCACTTTTTTCTCTCAATTATTTTAATTGTAATTTTTTATTCCAAATTTGTCAGTGAAGACAAATGACACTTCTTAGTCTCATCAAAGAAAGAATTCAAAGTTGACACAGAAATTTTAGTTGAGCATGATTTAGTATGGAGAAAGTAAGAGTACAAATGCAAACGTACACCCACAAAGGAATTCAATGTGGGCACCTTGATCAGTCAAGTGCCAATGCATAAGCAAAAGTTTACTCCCAGATATGAGGACAGGCAATTCAGCCAACAACAGAATGCAAGCACAGCAGCATACATTGAAAGGTGGGGTAAGGAGACAACAGAACAATAGGAAAATAATGGATTAATTAACTGGTTATTTCAGGTTACATTCTTTGTGCAAGAATTGAAACAAAGGACACCATATGTGGTTGTGCTCCCCTGAATTATTAGTAGTCACTCCTCTTATGAAAAACCCAAGATAACAGGCTGGGAAGGTGGCTCAGTGGTGGAGTGCTGGCCTTGCATACATGAGGCCCTGGGTTCGATTCCTCAGCACCACATAAGCTAAAAAGAAAGAAAGAAAGAACAGAGCAGAAAAACCCAAGATAGTCCAGCAAGTATACACACAGTGTGTGAAGTAGACCTTTCTCAAACTGGGAGGGGCACTCTGAGTCTTGGGAAGAGGCATGAGGGGCCACAGATAAAAGGTAGATGAAAAATCCTCTTCTGATCTTAAACAGACTTACTGCACACACAGGTGGTCCAAAGAAATGAAAAGTCGAGGGTCTAGGATTCATGTACCAACTCCAGATAAGATATCACATACTCCAAAACATTTATAGAAAAAATAATGCATTATGTTAATACTTTGTATCTACCAAGAATCATGACCCTGTCAGTCCATCTAGGCAGGACTGTCTGCATTGCCTGCTAAGGTCCTCACCACACAAGAACAGCAATGGAAACAGCATGTAGAATAGACTGGGTTAGCGGAGTGATGATGGCTCAAGCCTCTAATCCTAACTATTCAGGAGACTGAGCTCTGAGGATGGCGGTTCAAAGGAAAGTCTGTGAGACTCTTTATCTCCAATTAACTACCAAGAAAGCTGTGGCTCAAGGGGTGGAGTGTTAGCCTTGAACATAAAAGCTCAGTCAGAGCCCAGGATCTGAGTTCAAGCGCCAGGACTGGCACCAGAACAACAGAAAACAACCTCCCTCTCCCTTCAGAGATTATCATGGTATCCTCACACACCGACTTTCTACTGTGCGGATGCACACACCGTTCCACTTCTTAATACACCGCGGTCATCTACCATGATTCCTTTCTTTCATAGCTCCATGACCACCTTTAAAAACTGGATGTTTCAAACGGCGCCAGGACAACCTAGGGGACAGGTGGGGTGGGGAGAGATGGGGAGAACGAGGAAGCGGGTGACACCGATCGGGACGGCCTGGCCTCACAAACTGACGAGGCTGAACGACCTCTTTGTACGATTAAAGATAGTACAAGAGCCGGCTGTTTCATGAGCCTCAGTTTTCTCACACAAGAAGTTAGTAATACTTGCAATCGGTTGGTCCAAGCCACCGTACTCAAAGCCTGGCCTGGGTGGACTACTTACGAGTAATTTTGTGTTTTCTAGTGTGCGTTGCTGTCATGTGAGGCACGATGAAAGTAAAAGTGTTTTTTGTTTTTTTATTTACACCTTAACAGCAAAAGCCACATCATCCTCTGCTTCACTCAGTGGCGCAACGTCACGCGGGCCCAGACCCGCGGGATCCCAACCCGCGGGCGTGTCCGAAGGCCCCGGTAGAGACAGACGCGCTGTGATGACGCACGTCGCCTTGCGCGGTGACGTCAGCGGTCGCGGCACGCGGGCGGGGCGGGGCCTGCTGCGGCGTTGGCGTGCGGCGCGCTTTGCACACGTTGCACCTTGTCGCTTCCAGTCTGTCTGCCGTGTGGCTTCAGCGTCCCGACTGTGTGAGCCTACAGACCCGAGGCGATGGCGAAGCTCTGTCTCACGGTGAATCCCGGAGACCCTCCCCTGGGTAAGGAGCCGAGGCCACCCGGCCTGTGTGGGGTTGCATCAGCCGGAGGGGTGCGGGGCAGGGCTGTCGCCGGGCCCCGGCCTGGCGCAGTGGCAGTCACCGTCTGGAAGATGCGGCCTGGCTTTACTTAACCCCTGGCTGAACTGAGTCGTCCAGGGCCCACGGCCTAGTCCCGGGCCTCCGGAGGCCTCCCTTGCCTAGGTCTGTCTGCGAGGGCGTGGGAGGAGGCGCGGTGTTAGCCCGGGCCACTGGAGTCTTCATTTGGGATCTTCTCTCGGTGGGGTGACCCCTCTTAGAAATAGCATGTTTCCTTCTCCACTTGTTCACATTCTCCCCAAGATCCCGAATTCACTTGACCCGACTTATATGATTTATCCAGTTCAAAGGGAACAGGTCATGATAGCGTTTAGAATGTTACCTGAGAGCGCACTCATTTTTATTTAAAGGTGGTGGAGTATGTAGGCACATAGATTGATGGGGTGATGTACTCCACAAATGTCAGCGGTACTGCTTTCTTGATACAGCTTCTGAGTTCAGCCTGCGATTGCTGTGGTGGTTAGATCGCTTAGGATTTCGACTTTTTCATTACTTTGAGAAATTACACTGCTGAAGAATTTAAGCTTAATAAACTCGCTTATGTTAATGCATATTAAGGATCTAGGCACATAAAGTATTCTAGAGAATTTTAAATAAGAAGAGTCATGTGGGGATGATTCTCGAGGTTGATGTTTGTCTGCGCATATTAAAAACAGCGTGTGTTTCTGAGAAAGGCTTTATATATATGAGGCAAGCACTGCACTACCCAACTCCCATCCCCCTTCCTGGCCCTATAAACCATTAGCCGGCTTGAATAATTAAAATGGTAACGTTTTAGTATATTGGTTCCAGTAATTATGTGTTAACATCACAGCAAATCAATAAGCTCTATAAAAGAAGTAGATTTGATTTGGGGATGGAAAGGCACTAGATAATAGTTTAGCCACTGTCTAGTGGTTGTGGGCAAAGGCATTTATTTGGTTGATGGAGGCCGAAGCCTCAGTCCTGACTGCTAAGTACTAGTTGTGGAACTTGGATGAGTTCCTTGCTTACGTTCCCTTTCCTTTTATAAGAAAGGTGGAATGTCTTCTATATAGTGTTGGCTCCCAGAATGAAATAAGACTTAGAGATAAAGTTCTGACACCTTTTAGGTGTGTAATAAATAGCTGTGATTCTAACTTACGTCACTTAGAAAATCACTCTGGAGGTAATAGATCTGTTTTCTTTATAAATTACAGAACTCAGAACTATTTTGTCAATATTAGAAGAATCAAGAAATTTGTCATTTTGAACTCTGTACCAGTTTTAGAATATATACGTTAATTTTCTAGTTGCTTCTCTTGACTTTCAGTTAATTTTTCTCACTTGCTCAAATTCCATGTTTTATCTTCAATAAAATTAAATGAAGCATTTAGCAAAAATAGATTACATTGTTAGACTTTCCCTATATTATATGTATAGTGTATGTTCTTTTTAATGTTAAAATAATTTCATATATAAAAATGATAGGAGAGAGAACTTGGTACTTTACCTCCCTAGAATCTTCCAAGTGTACCTCTCCCACAAGCAAACACTCTGTACCTGATATACACAACCATCAAAGTCAGAAAATACACATTGATACAATTCCCATACCTACAAACACTATTAATCTAACACTAACTGTTCCAGTAATAGCTGTCATAAGCAAGGTCCACATTCTGTCTAGGATCACCATATTGTCATGTCTTCCCCGTTTCTTTCAATCTGGAATGGGTTAGTGGTCTAACCTTGATTTTCATAGCCTTGTCCTTGAAGATTAAAAGCCACTTACTTTTGAGTACCCTCTAGTCTAGTTGTCTGACATTTCCTTGTAGTCAGATTTATTCTATGCATCTTTGGCACGAGTAACACAATAATCCTTGTTCTCCACTGCAGATATGATTTCTTATTTATCATTGCAGCCCATTAGTGATGCATGAGTTGAATTTTCCCATTCCTAATGATTTTATCAAGGATAAAATCACTTAAGATGGTGTCAGCCCACTTTCCCAGCTGCAGTTTTTTCTTTCAATTTACAGATAATTTAAAAACGGAATCATACGAACAGCTCCTTTCATCCATGCATTGTTTCAGCATCTAATTTATGATGTTGATTGTCATGGTGACCTTCCAATTGTACAATTATTTTTACATTTAATAGTTAGCATTTTTCTATGAGAAGAACATTCTCTTTTTACAATGTAAAAATTCATAGCAACTATATTCAATGTGTTCTCTGTGTGTGTCTGTGTCTACATGCCAATACTGAGGCTTTAATTTGAAATGCAGAGTGTTAGAATTTGAGATCAAGATTGCCTTGATTCTGCTTTCAGATGCTGACTACCATGGTAGTCCAAGCCTTAGTTTACTCTTCAGTTATTTCTCTGAGATAAAACATAAGACTTCCTGTAGGCTTTCTACAGTATAAACTACTGAGAAAATAGCTTATTCCCATTATGATTTAATGCTGGATTATTGACTCATCCTTACTGCTTTTATGATCCAAGTTATAAATATTGAGTTGTCGTTAAACAGAAATAAATCTTTTCATCCTCCATTTTTAGAAGCGTTGCTGGCAGTAGAACATGTGAAAGGTGATGTCAGCATTTCTGTTGAAGAAGGAAAGGAGACTCTTCTTCATGTTTCTGAGTAAGTGCTCTTATTTTCAGTACTATTAAAAATAATCAGCATTAAATATTATATGCTTATTTCACTTGCTCATTTGGTGAGTTGTTCCTAGAAAGAAGTGAGCTTTGTTATTCTAAAAGGATGGAATACAGGGATTTATATTTGTCAGCTAGCTATGTGATTTCACTCATTATCTGTTTTTAAGAGCTAGAAATATGCCAGGCGCCTGTGGCTCAGGCCTGTAATCTTAGCTACTCAGGAGGCTGAGATCTATGGATCATGGTTCAAAGCCAGCCGGGGAAGGAAAGGCCGTGAGACTCTTATCTTCAATAAACCACTCAGAAAATCGGAAGTGGCACTGTGGCTCTAGTGGTAGAGCGCTCGCCTTGAGCTGAAGAGCTGAGGGACAGCGCCCAGGCCCAGAGTTCAAGCCCCATGACTGACAAAAAACAAAAACAAAAAAACCTAGAAATGTGAAGAAAGATTTACATGTAAAAATTTATTTATTTTTGAGACAAGTCCTTATGTGACCCAGGCTAGCCTGAAACTCAGGGTCATTCTGCAGGGATTACAGGTACGCACCACTGTGGCCTGGCTTTATATAAAAGGCTTGAATCGGGGCTGGGAAGGTGGCTCAGTGGTAGAGCGCTTGCCTTGCATGCCTGAGGCCCTGGGTTCGATTCCCCAGCACCACATAAGCAAAAAGAAAAAAGCTGGAAGTGGCGCTATGGCTCAAGTGGTAGAGTGCTAGCCTTGAGCTGAAGAGCTGAGGGACAGCGCCCAGGCCCAGAGTTCAGGCCCCACGATTGGACCCAAAAAATAAATAAATAAAAGGCTTGAATTTATGGTCTGTACACTGTCTTTTAACTTTCTTGCCAAAGGCTGGTACTCTGCTACTTGAGCCATAGCTCCTCATCCAGCTTTTTGGTTGTTATTGGAGATGAGAGTATCATACACTTTTCTGCCTGAGATAGCTTTGAGCCATGATCAGATCTTAGCCTCCTGAATGGCTAGGATTATAGGTGTAGACAGTACCCAGCTTCATTTTGTTTTTTCTTTTTTGTGCCAGCCCTGGGGTCTGAACTCAGGACCTGGACACTGTCCCTGAGCTGCTTTTGTTCAAGGTTAGCACTCTACCATTTGAGCCACAATGCCGCTTCTGGCTTTTTCTGCTTATGCCATACTGAGGAATCAAACCTAGGGCTTCATGCATGCTAGACAAGCACTGTACTTCTAAGCCACATTCCCAGCTCCCCCACCCCCAGCTCCATTTTCTGTTTTATTAATGATAGTATTCAGATAATTCCTGTTTTCTTAAGTTGTCATCTGCATTTTCTTTTGTTTCTAGTTTGTTTCAATATTATTATCCAGTATTTCTTGTTGAAATTTAATTTCTGCTATCACATATTTATTATCAGAGCTCTGGGGTTTTTGTTCTTTGTTGTTGTTTGGTTTCTTTAGAACAAGGCTTTTCTATGTAGCTCAGGCAGCGTTGAGCTGAACATCCTCTGGTTTCTGTCCCTTGCATACTGGAATTACAGGTGTCAGACACTATGCTAGCGTTTGAGAGTTCTGTTATATGTTTCTGGATAATCCTTTTATAATGCCCTGTTCTTAATTTATTTGTTTATATGTTTATTTTTCTTTGGTTGTAAAGATGCTGGAGATTGAACCTAGGGTCTTAAGCTTGTATATACTACCACTAAGCTATTCCTTTAGCCCTGATTGCAATTTTTGTTTCATTATTTATTTTGGTCACTGTCTTTAAAATTACAGGCTTTTTTCAAACATCTGACAACCTCTGGTAGTAGTTCTTTTGTAGTTAGCATGAAAACAGTGAGAATGGTAATTTCTGAACTGAGAGTTGTTTCTATTAATTCTGAGCTTACTCTAGGAAGCTCTAGCTAATCTGTTCGTTTGGGGAACTTCTGATGTCAGTGTCTTTAGTTCTTTCCTTCTTGGGCTGATGAAATTATCCAGAGAAGAGATTTGGTTTAACTCCTTAGGGAATAATTTTTCAGTTTTTGCCTCAGAGATATCCTAGCAGAATTGTGTGTGTGTGTGTGTGTGTGTGTGTGTGTGTGTGTGTGTGTGTGTGTGTGTGTGTGTGTGTGTGTGTGTGTGTGTGTGTGTGATGGTGTTATGCTTTTTATTCAGATTCTTGAACTGGCTAGGCAGCCTTCTGAGTACTAGCTCACCACCATCCTGGTGAAATAGTACTTTGATGAAGTTGTATTTTTAAAATTAGAAGGCATTATACAATTGTGGGTGTGGGTGTGTGTGCGTGCGCATGTGCACGCACGCGCACGTGTGCACGCATAGACCATTCTGAAGTAATTAGTGGCTTTAGCCCCATATTTTATAACAAATTAGAATTGGATAGAAACAGGTAAGTAAGGAAGCAAATCTATTTTGCTGTAGTGAAAAGAACTTAGAAAGTATATTAGGATTTCTATTTTTACATATATTCCATAGTCTCACCACTTATTGTTTACTAGAACGACTGCAATATTTTACCTCATGCTTTTACTCTAGGAATGTGGTGTTCACAGACATAAATTCCATACTTCGCTATTTGGCCAGAGTTGCCACTACAGCTGGGCTCTATGGCACTAACCTGATGGAACATACTGAGGTAAACACTTACTTGTATGTTTTGTTTATTTAATTTATTGCTTTTGGATTTTTGAGAACAATATTGTCTTACAGTACATTGTCTCTACAGTGTTAATTAAGAAATGTTTATTGTGGTTTTATTTTTTTAAAAGAAAAGAAAGAAAAATTCTCAGAATTGGTATAACTCAGTGATGGAGAACTTGTCTAGCATTTGGCAGGCCCTGGGCTTAATCACCACTGTAGTAAAGAACTAGAATATTTTCTCTTTCTTAAAAAAAAAGGGGGGGGCTGGGAAGGTGGCTCCGTGGTAGAGCGCTTGCCTTGCATGCCTGAGGCCCTGGGTTCGATTCCTCAGCACCACATAAGCAAAAAGAAAAAAGCCGGAAGTGGTGCTGTGGCTCAAGTGGTAGAGCGCTAGCCTTGAGCTGAAGAGCTGAGGGACAGTGCCCAGGCCCAGAGTTCAGGCCCCATGACCGGACCCCCCCCCCCCCCCCAAAAAAAAAAAAAGTTGTTTATTCCCAAACTAACTGTACTTTGGGGGCATTCAGTGCATCTTCATCTTCCTGCCTTCCTAGAATATCATGGGCGCATGAGACTGTATAGATCATTCCATCCAATTTTTATGCTTTGTAGATAAGGCAGTAGGCATATCAGTTCTAAATTGTCTATGTATTTTTTGTTCTTCCTGAAATACCCTTCCACAAATCTTCAGGAAAGTAACAAAATACGATATTTATCTAAGTGCCACCTTAGATCCTGTGCTTCTAGAATTGAATCCACATAATTCAAAAATTTGAGGTAAGAAAAGTATGTTTTTACATTAGGAAGTCAAATATGTTGTGCTAGATTACTACCATTTTTTTTCTTGTGGTCATCTTTTTCAAAAGTCTAAACTCTGCAGTGTATTTCTTTTCTCTCTTTGTGTTCACAGATTGACCACTGGTTGGAGTTCAGGTCTACAAAATTACCTTCATGTAATTTGTTTACTTCTGCCATCAACGAGCTTAATCATTGCCTGTCTTTGAGAACATACTTAGTTGGGAACTCCTTGACCTTAGCAGATCTATGTGTATGGGCCACCTTAAAAGGTATCAGTAATTCCTCTTAAAATATGCATTGTATGGTTTTGGCTTTTTTCTTTTTTTTTAAAGTGGAGGCTGACTATTGCTTAGGTTGACCTTAAACTCCTAAACCTAAGCAATATTCTGCCTCAGCCTCACAAGAGGCTAGGATTACAATTGTGCACCACCAAGCCCAAATAAAATACTTTATTTTAATCATTTAATATTTTAATATTTTGCTGGATAAAAAGTATTCACACATGTGCATGCATGTATGTGTACACACCCAACCTATACATACACACATGTTTAGGCCATAACTTAAGAGGGTTCATCTAGAGTAGTCATCCAAATTTCTTGTTTATATCCAGTTACAGGAATCTCTTGTCCTCTACTAGCCCTGGGGATTTTCTTTTAAGTTCCTCTTGCCTTTGCATTTGTCATTCTTGCTTAAAATCCTCAGTCTCTTATATCAGCTTTGCTGCCTCATCCTTACTTTGGACATTACGCTTAGCTCGCATTGGAAAAATCACTAGGACTATAAGAAGGGCTAATTTAGTGATTTGAGGTGTCACTTTTCTGGGAGGTTACTTATTCCTCTTCTACAACTAGTTTGCTGCACATAGGAAGAAGTGTTTATCAACTTGGGAAACCTGTTAGCCTTTTATTTTGAAGAGACAAAAAAGCTTCATGAAATATAACATATATAGAAAACTCCACTTACTTAAAATATATGATTTTATTGAGGTATATATATAATAAGGCCCTGGGATTTGAATTTGGCCTCACTTGCTAGGCAGATAGTCTCCTACTTGAGTCATGCCCTTATCTCTGGACTTGACTCCTTCCTACCTTAGCCTCCCTTGCTAGTATTACAGGAGTTTGTTGTTTTTTTTTTTTTTTTTTTTTTTTTGGTTGGTCATGGGGCTTGAACTCAGGGCCTGGCTCAAAGCTAGCACTCTGCCACTTTGAGCTATAGTTGCTGTTCGGGTTTGTGAGTGTTTAATTGGAGATAAGAGTCTCATGGGGGACTTTTCTGCCTGCACTGTCTTCGAACCAGTCTTCAGATCTCAGCCTCCTGAGTAGCTAGGATTACAGGCATTAGACACTTGCTCTTGGCTTCTTACTGTTCTTTTAAGAATGTAGCTTTGAAATGCTAAACTGCTAAACAGACTTAAGTGCCTTTTTTTTTTCTTGCCATTAGCGGAGTTTGAACTCAAGATCCTTTACTCACTTAGGTTGCTTGCTTGGCTGGTGCTCTGCCACTTGAGCTATACCTTCAGTTCAGTTTTAGGTTTATTTTGAAGATGAATTCTCACTGACTTTTCTGCCTGGATTGGCTTCAAGCCTTGATCCTTTGGATCTAAGCCTCCTGAATAGGTAGGATTAGGATTATAGGTATTAGCTACCAGCAGCATCCAGAGAGCATCTTGATTATCTTGATTTTGTTTTTTCTAGTTCATCTTGAAATCTTTTTCTTAATTAAGTGTTGGTTTTACAATGTGTGTGGCATGAGTAAGAAAAAGTGATTTTTTTTTTTTCAACTCTGTAAAATACATTGAAGTGTTAGGACATGTGTAAATTTTTTTATTGCAGAAGAAGGACTTGAATCTCTTTTACGTGAATTAACCATGGTTAGAACTTTGCTTTTGAGGTTGCAGATTTATAGAATAGTTTTTAAATTATGTTTGCTAATAGGAAGTGCTGCATGGCAAGAACAAATGAAACAGAACAAGGCTCCAGTTCATGTAAAACGCTGGTTTGGTTTTCTTGAAGCCCAGCAGGCCTTCCAGTCAGTAGATACCAAGTGGGATGTTTCAACAAGCAAAGCTAAAGTGGTAAGCCTGTTTGCCTCCCTCCTTCCTTCCCTTCCTTCTTCTCTCCCCTCTTTCCCTAGCTTTCCCTCCTTGTTCTCCTCCTTTCTCTTTTTTTTTCTTTTTCTTTTTTTGCCAGTCCTAAGGTTTGAACTCAGGGCCTGGGTGCTGTTCTTTGTGTTCAAGGCTAGCTCTCTGCCACTTAAGCCATTTTTTCTATGGAGTTTATTGGAGATAAAGACTGTCACAGACTTTCTTGCCCAGGCTGGCTTCAAACTGCAATCCTCAGATCTCAGCCACCTGAGTATCTAGGATTACAGGTGTTAACCACTGGCGTCCGACCGTTTCCCCCTTTATTTTTTTTAGCCGGTTGTGGGGGCTGAACTCTGGACCTGGGCGCTGTCCCTCAGCTCTTCATCTCAAGGCTAGTGCTTTACCATTTGAGTCACAGCACCACTTCCGGCTTTTTCTGCTTATGTGGTGCTAAGGAATCGAACCCAGGACCTCATGCATTTGAGGCAAGCACTCTACCACTGAGCCAACTTCCCAGCCCTCCCCCTTTCTTAAATGCTAATGTTTCAGTGTGGCTCTGAGAAGGAAATTATTGCTGCTCATAAAACTTATTTTCTGGGACTGAGAGTATATCCCAGTGGCAGTATTTGCTTAACCTAGAATTCATAGGCACTACCAAAAAATGAACTTATCTTTTCACAGTGAAAAAGGATTATCTTAGAAGAATCTCCTGTTGCTAAATCTTAGTTTGACATTAACTGGTGGATTACTTAAAGCCCTAATCTTTATACTTGTGAAAGATTGAATCTCCAGTATTTTTCGTAGACAATTCAAATTTTATATAACTAAATTTTCTCTAGTTTTGTTGTGTAGTGCTGGGGATTGAACCCAAGTCCTCATCTATGCTAAGCCCATGTTCTACCATCAGTCGACATGTTTTGCCAGTCCTGGGGCTTAAACTCAGGGCCTGGGCACTGTCCTTGAGCTTCTTTTGCTCAAGGCTAGCACTGTACCACTTGAGCCACAGCACCATTTCTGGTTTTTTCTGTTTATGTGGTACAGAGGAATCAAACCCAGGACTTCATGTATGCTAGGCAAGCACTCTTATCACTAAACTACAGTCCCATTCCCTCAATCTACACCTTCAACCTAGTTATTATTATTTTACTGTCTTTCTCCTGAATCTTCTCTTTTCTGGTTTTTAACCATTGAGTCCTTGGATAGAGTACAGTAGAAAAAGTCCTCTTCTCTAGAATCATTCTGATTTGATCGGTTTCACAGCATCGACATGAATAGTATAGTTCTTATTTAATGAAGGTTTTTCTGATGTAGTAAAATTTGCCTAATACTTTGGCGAATCCTTTACCATTTTTTTCCCATCTAATGAGTCAACAAGTCCTCTTATTCTCCTATCTACAGGGTTTCTTTCTATCCAACCCTACTTCTCTGCTTATGTTATTGCATCTTTGTTAAATACCATTTCACATGTGGTCTTATCTTTCTCTAATTCTGCATCTTAGCTGTCCTAGGTAGTGTTTTAAAATATGAAAGTAACATTTCATTTCCCCTAGAGGATGCCATTACTTGAAGCGTAAAAGCCAAGTCCAAACCTTGTGCGTTAGTATGGGGGCTTGAACTTTTGCTCGGCTTTTTCACTCAAGGCTGGTACTTGAGCCACACCTCCACTTCTGGTATTTTGCTATAATTGGAGATAAGAATATCATAGACTTATTTTCTCCTGGACTGGCCTTGAACTGTGATTGTCAGACCTCAGCATTATGAGTAGCTAGGATTACGGACAGGAATCACCACTACCTGGCCTATACATTCTGTTTTGGACTTAATGTATTTCAGCTTCCTTGCTCATGAACCTATACTATGCATAGATACTGTATTGCCCTTCCCTGCCTTTGTGTCTTGCTTCTAAACCCTTTAGCCCCTTTAGCCTTTCCATCTGAAATATTTCTGCTCCAGGCACTGACCCTGAGCTTTTTTTCTCAAGGCTAGTGCTTCTTGGTTAATTGGAGATTAGAGTGTCAAGGGCTTTTCTGCTCAGGCTGGCTTTGGAGCTGGCTTTGAACCGAACCTTGATTCTCAGCTCTCAGCTACTTGAGTAGCAGCCACTGGTGCCTGGCACATTTCCACTTTTTAAAGATGCAGGTTGGAACCAGGTGTCAGTGGCTTACATGTATAATCCTAGTTACCCAGAAGACAGAGATCAGAAGATCTCTATTCAAAACCAACTTGGACAGACAAAAGCAAGAGAATCTTACCTCCAATTAACCAGTGAAGTGCTAGAATTGAATTTGTGGCTCAAGTGGTAAATTGTTAGCCTGTGAGTAGAAAAAGACAATTGAGAGCTTGAGGCCCTGAATTCAAGCCTCCGTATCTGTACAAAACCAAAATCAGGAAAGATCCAATGTGGTTCTTACTACCTTGTAAGCTTTTCCTGAAGGCCTGGATATTGTTGATTCACAGTTTAAAATTTTGTTGTTGCTGTTGTGATCCTGAGGCTTGAACTTAGGGCCTGAGCACTTTATCTGAATTTTTGTGTTCAAGCTAGTGCCCTTCTATTGGAGTCATATCTGTTTTTTTAGGTGATAAATTGGAGATAGGAGTCTCATGGACTTTCGCCTAAGGCTAGCTTCAAACCACAATCCTCAGATCAAAGGCTCCTGAAAAGCTAGGATTACTAGGGTGAGCCACTGGTGCCTAGCTTGTTGATTAGCTTTAACTACATGTTCTAACTGTACCCTCTAAAAACACTATCGGTATTACTGGTGTGTGCTTTTATTTATTTCCTTCATCAGACTTTTAATTACCCAAGTGCAGGATGATGGTCTAGTCATTATTTTGTTCATAACTACTATAGTGTGTCATTTAGTAGGTATAGTGAACATGTTCTTAAGTATTTAACCGTATAGCTTGTTGTTGTTGATGTTTTTCTTTTCAGGCACCTGAGAAAAAACAAGACGTTGGGAAGTTTGTTGAGCTTCCAGGTGCAGAGATGGGAAAGGTTACTGTCAGATTTCCTCCAGAAGCTAGTGGGTAAGGAAATACATCTCAAACTTACACTTAAATATATTAGTGGGAAAACCTTAAAAGTTACCCAACTTCTAATACTAAAGAGTTGATACAAAAAGAAATAAATAAGATTTTGATGATGGGAGTTAAAAAGTCATAATAGTTCTTAATTATTAACATAATATTAGTTGAATTTTAATTTGTAGCTTTAGCTTATTAAGAATAGAAGAGACATTGAAATTTTACCCCATTTTAAATAGAAATAAGAAAATACTACAAATAGAAACATTAAAATAAGGGCTGGCAGAGTAGCTCAATGGTTGTGTTCGCCTAGCAAGTGCAAGGCCCTGAGTTCACATCCCAGCACTGACAAAAAAAAAAAAAAAGAGGTAGGAAATTTAAATTTTAAAATGTCTATAAATAGGGATTAATTTTTATTTGTATTCTAAGATTTGGGGGCTTTTATTCACTAAGGATTTGTATGATACTTCCAGTCATCTTTTATATTAATAGTAGAATTAGATAGCAGTATTTTTTTCTCTCAAATGGAGAAATGTGTTGAAAAATACATTCCTACTTAGTTCTTTCCATTGGTAACAAGTTTCCTAAACTCATTAGCTCTTGGCAAACATAGAAAATTATAATCAAAGAGTCCACTCATTTAAGAAAAGACTGTTGTGGCTGTAAGCCATAGCATGGGGCTGCTTCAAACCTTGTGTACCATTCCCTAAGCCTGAAGGGAGTCTGCCTTTTCACATCCATCTCCTTGAAGCAGAGTTAAGGGGAATATCAAGCTTTGTAGTTCCTGTGATACTAATATAATAAAATAAGCCTTACTAAAGACACATTACTAATGCACTTGTGCACCTAGATGCTGAACCTTAGAAACAGTGTTAATTTGTGAGATGATTCTTTTTTTTTTTTTGGTCGTGGGCTTGAACTCTGGGCCTAGTGTTGTCCTTTAGCTCTTAAACTCAAGGCTAGCACTCTACCACTTGAGCCACAGTGGCACTTGCATTTTTTCTGGTGGTTTTATTGGAGATAAGAGTTTCAGGGCCTTTCCTGCTTGGGCTGGCTTTGAACTGTGATCCTCAAATCTCAGCCTCCTAAGAGCTGGGATTACAGGTGTGAGCCACAGGGTGCCCAGCTGAAATGATTCTTTGTACAACTTTAATTTCAGATTTTGTTTCAGATAAGAATTTCACATTCTTATCCTTTTGTGGTAGATAGAATATGTAGATAACAGAAATTGGCAGATAGGAAAACCATTTTCTTTTTGTTCTTGTTTTTCTGTCTGTTGTGGGGTTTGAACTCTGGGCCTAAGTGCTGTTCTTCAGCTCATCAGCTCAAGTCCAGCACTCTACCACTTGAGTCACAGTACCACTTCCAGTTTTCTGGTGGTTTATTGGAGATAAGAGTCTCATGAACTTTATTGCCCAGGCTGGCTTTGAGCCGCAATCCTCAGATCTCAGCCTCCTGAGTAGCTAGGATTACAGATGTGAGCCACCAGCACCCAGCAAACAATTTTCTTTTAGCTATGTACTTAATAGATCTTTACAAATGATCTCATCATAAAAACCAGTCTAGGCCTGGGAATGTGGCTTGGTGGTAGAGTACTTGTCTAGCATGAAGGAGGCCCTGGGTTCAATTCCTGATACCACATTAAAAAAAAAAAACTAAAAGAAAAACCAGGTGTATAGTTGCATACTTTTTACTTTATTTTGCTGGTGCTAGGGTTTGAACTTAACCTTGAGCTTGCTCAGCTTGCTTGTTTTACTGGCATTCTACCACTTGAGCCATTCTTCTACCTTGTCTTTTTGTTTTTGGAGATGGAATATCATGGACTTCTGTGCCTGGGCTGACCTTGAACCTCAAACCTTTACTAAGCTCACCCTCTGAGGTAGTTAGGATTAGAAACAAGAGCCACTGGCTCATGGCTTCTTTTCTGTACTAGGGGATGGTAGAAGAAATGAAAAAAAAAATGACTGAAAAAAATAACAAATTTGATTCGTGACTCAATGAAATAAATAGCATTTATGTTACATGGTTCAATCTTTTTTTTTTTTTTTGTGATCCTGGGCCTAGTGCTATCTCTATCTCTTTGTGCTCAAGGTTGATGTTCTACCACTTGAGCCACAGCTCCACTTCTGGCTTTTTCTGAACAGTTTATTGGAGATTAAAAGTCTCATGGAATTTCCTGCCAGGGATAGCTTCAAACCATGATCCTCAGATCTCAGCCTCCTGAGTAGCTAGCATTACAGACATAAGCCACCAATGCCCAGCCATAGTTCAGTTCTTAAAGATATCATGAGTCCTTTCCTCCCAATATTCTATTTCTGTGTTTGATATGAGAGGTCATACTTGTCATTTGCATTACTAATCTTAGTTGTTTGATAAAAGTTGCTTTTAAGGGGCTGGGAAGGTGGCTCAGTGGTAGAGTGCTTGTCTTGCATGCATGAGACCCTCAATTCAATTCCTCAGCACCACATAAGCAGACAAGGCCAGAAGTGGGCTGAGGCTCAAGTGGTAGAGCGCTAGTCTACAGCTGAAGAGCTGAGGGACAGGGCCCAGGCCCAGAGTTCAGGCTCCACGACCGACAAAAAAATAAATAAGTAGCATTTAAATACTATTTCTTGCTATGCCATTTTTTGTCTTTTTTTTTTATCACTGTCACTTCTTGAATATTGGATTAGCATATTTATACATATATATTATAAAATATGTTTATCTGTTCTAAATTACGTCATTTTCGGAGAGATGCTCTTATATACGTAGGGATTTGGAATATAATCAGTATTTCATTATTGTTCATAAATTTCATCATATCCCCATATACTTGCTAACAAGTACAGGCACTAACAAGTGCTTTCTATATAGTAAGTCATTAATCTGAACAACCTTTTGAGGAAGGCACTATTTAGAAGCTGATTCATACGATGTATTAATATCTTGCCAAACTCAAAATCTGCCATCTGGCTCTTGTAGCTAAAAATTACACTGTTGTGCATGGCAGAAGTCTAATTCAGTATTACTGGTAACTAAAGCAGCATGATTCTTACTTCCTTTCACTATTGTTTCTTCAGATGATTATTTTAGTTACGGTATTTTATAGTCTCAAGTGTTTTTCCTGAAGCTTGGAATATACATTATTAGAGCTATATACATTATTGCTGATTCAGATGTATTTTTCTTTAAGACCTTTTTTCTCCTCCTCCTTTTTTTCTTTCCCCTTTTTTCCTACTTTCACTTTGTCTCTTCTGTCTCCCTCTCTCTTTCTCCTTTATTTTTTCCTCATTGTCTTTTTTCCCTCCCCTTCCTTCCTCCCTCTTTTCCTCCTCCTTCCTTCCCTCCCAGCATCTTGTTCATGGGAAACATACACTGTAGCTCCACATTATCCTTCTTAAGTTAATTTTATATTTAAAGCTAAACACATTAACTCAAACAATAGGTGATCAGTAACTGTATCTTTTTGAATGATGTAGCTCATTGCTGAATTAAACATGCTTCAAGTTAACATCTAGTTTTCTGTTTCTGGGAATCCATGGCCCTTTATTTTAAGTTACTTTATTTTAGGATAGTTTTAGATTTACAGGAAGTTTCTATATTTATTACATCCAGTTTTTCATAGTGTTGGCATCTTGCATTTATATGGTAACTTCATCATAACTAATGAACAAATATTGATATTCTTCACTAAACTCCATCCATTTCTGGGATTTCATCAATTTTTGTGTAATAACTTTTTTGTTCTAAGATATCTTCTAGAGCATATGCAGTTCTGTTTTTTGTAGGCAATTTTTAAAAGCCCAAATTGCATTGCACATTGTAGTTGGTTCTATTACTTATGCATGCAAAAACCCTTTTTATAAGCCAATCACTGATCTGGACCTCTGTCTAAATTTGTAGAAACTTAATTGAGTTAGGATTGATGTGTCATTCAGTGGCAGAGTGCTTACTAGGCATGTGCAAGGCCATGTTTAATTGACTTTTGTTTTTTGTGTTTTTTTTTTGCAGTTGTGGGGTTTGAACTCAGGTCCTGCACACTGTCCCTTATCTCTTTTGCTTAGGGCTAGTGCTCAACCACTTGGAGGCACAGCTCCACTTGCAGTTTTTGAGTGGTTAACTGGGGGTAAGAGTCTCAAGGAGACTTTTCTACCTGGGCTGACTTCTAACCATGATGCTCAGATCTCAGCCTCCTGGATAGCTAGGATTATAGGCATGAGCCACCTACATTCAGCTTTCATTGTCATAAATGGAGTTGTATTTTTCATAATATCAATATCACTTCATGTCAAAGGTGTGCTATTAGAACTAGATGACTTATCTTAAAATGGTGACTGCTGTAGTAAACTGAAAGTGGTAAAAATTGGCAAGAGCTATTTAAACTGGCTTCATACCTTGTTTTCTTCCCAAATGATTATAATTTAAACAATAATGGCCAAGTTAATTAATTTCCTTGTAAAAGTTTTTGGTGATAGAGTCTTGGTCTGTAACCCAAGCTGACCTCAACTCAAGACCCTTCTGCCTCAGAATCCTAAGTGCTAGAAATTTACAGGTAGATGCTACTTTGAACATTGTTTTTTTTTTTCCTCAGTCGTTGGGCTTGAACTCTGGCCCTGGGTGCTGTCCCTGAGCTCTTCAGCTCAAGGAGAGTGCTCTACCACTTGAGAGCCATAGAGCTTCTTCTGGTTTTCTGGTGGTTTATTGGAGATATGAGTCTCACGGACTTTTCTGTTTGGGCTGGCTTTGAACCATGATCCTCAGATCTCAGTCTCCTAAGTACCTAGGATTATAGGATGAGTCACCGGCGCCCTACAGAACATTGCTTTTTACAAACTGCTTTGATTGGGCTGGGAATGTGGCTTAGTGGTACAATGCTTCCTTAGCATGCATGACGCTCGAGGTTCAATTCCTCAGTACCACATAAACAGAAAAAGCAGAAGTGATGTTGTGGCTCAAGTGGTAGAGTGCTGGCCTTGAGCAAAAAGAAGTTCAAGGATAGTGCCCAAGCCTGAGTTCAAGTCCCAAGACTGGCAAAATGAATAAATAAATAAATACATTGATAGAGGAAAATATTGATAAATTATCAATACTATTTCTTAGCTTCTTCCTCTCCTACCCCCTTCTTCAGATCTCAGCTTCCTGGGTAGCTATAGGCATGATCCACCAGTGCCTGTCTCAAAAGAATATTATACATTTTGATTCATTGATACTAGATGTGACCTTTGTAGTCATTTGGTTAAAATCTTTTTGTTGGCATTTGAGACGACTAAAGCCTAGAGAAATAAAATTTCCAGAGAAAGAAATATTTTGAGACAGGATATTACTAAGTCGAACTGGATGGTCTGGAATTTGTGATCCTCCAACTCTAATAAAAGTCTCTATTGCTAAGATTAACGGGTGTGAGCTTTCATGCCCAGTTCTTTTGCCTTCATAATTCTCGTAGGTTCTCATTTAGCCATCACAGTGACAGCGACAGTTATAGAGGTGTTTCTCTCTAGTGGGTACTAGGTGCTTGTCCAATTCCAGTAGCATCAAGTCGTATAATAAGGGGACACTACCAGCTGGCATTGGAAATGGTTTCAGAAGCAGTTTTCCTCCAGGTGACTATTACTCTTGGGGGGAAAAGGAACATTGCAACTTTTGTAAATACTGTACTTGTTCATGAGATTTTATGTGCAAAGTTGTTTTGTATTATAATATTCCTAGTTTGTTTTGCTTTTTTTTCTGTCAGTTTTTCTATCATAGTACTTCCTGTTGGAAAGTGAAATATGGTTGCAGTACTAGTTAGAAGATCTGTTTAGTTCTCATCTCCTCAGGGTTAAGTTGAAGTGTTTAGTTAAGACCTGTTAATGAGTTTCTTTGTGGAATGTTTTTGTTTTAGTTACTTACACATTGGGCATGCAAAAGCTGCTCTTCTGAACCAGCACTACCAGGTTAACTTTAAAGGGAAACTGATCATGAGATTTGATGACACAAATCCTGAAAAAGAAAAGGAAGATTTTGAGAAGGTAATTAAAAGTGTAGTGATGACTTTTTTCAGAAAAGTAAATTAAAGTTAGAGGGTAACCTGATACCTTCACGGTATGAAAAGCAAACTTTGTTTCATAGCTGCCTCCCCCCTTTTATATATTCCACCTATGTATGTTCTTGAGACCCAAACCAAAAAATATCAAGTTCCTATACAAAACAAAAAATTTCTCTTCTCCGGTTATAGAATTTACCTACATGCTGTATTTTCCTATGAGTAACAAATTCACTGGAGGCAGGTTTTCTTACTGTCATATAATACTAAGTTTATGAATGAAATAATCACTAAATAGGTATTGGAAAATGTAGTTTTCTACCTCTTGTCTCATCTTTATTCAGAAGCACTACAGTACATTCCAAGAGGATACAAAGGATTGTTGATATGATCAATAAATAATAACTGATTTTTTCAGAGTAAATCAAAGCCCCCTCATGAGATCAGCTTTTGGAGCTGAAAATTTGGAAGCTGACGTAATGAGTAATTTTTTTTTTTCTGACTTAATATCATACAACTTCCACGGCCTTTTTCAGGCTATTTAAGATGGATTTTTTTTTTTTAATTACATTTATTCAAAATGCAGTATCAGGGATTGGAAATAATGGGAAAAATGAAACTATGCACTTTTTTTTTTAATTTATTGCAGGTTATCTTGGAAGATGTTGCAATGCTGCATATCAAACCAAATCAATTTACTTATACATCAGATCATTTTGAAACTATAATGAAATATGCAGAGAAACTAATTCAAGAAGGGAAGGCTTATGTTGATGATACTCCTGCTGAGCAGATGAAAGCAGAACGTGAACAGAGGATAGCATCCAAACATAGAAATAATTGTAAGGCATAGTTTTGTCTGATGTTTTAATTTATATTCTGTATTAGGCTTCCTTAGCAGTACATGATTTCATTATTGTAAGAGATGCTGACGTGAAACACATTGAGTGTGATTTCTATGCTAATGTATTTTAGAAATCTTTTTTCTTTCTCTGTAATCTTTTACATTTTTATTGCTTTATTACCGATCACAACCATATTTAAAGAGCCCATGTCTTTAGTTCTTACTTATTATATGCAGTCTTTTGCATGTATTTCTCTTACTGTGATATTTAATTTATTTATTTATTTATTTATTTATTTATGTTGGTCATGGGGCTTGAGCTCTGGGCCTGGGCACTGTCCCTGAGCTCTACAGCTCAAAGCAAGCGCTCTACCACTTGAGACACAGTGCCACTTATGGTTTTCTGGTGGTTAATTGGAGGTAAGAGTCTCACAGACTTTCTTGCCCGGGCTGCCTTTGAACCTCTATCATCAGAACTCAGCCTCTTGAGTAGCTAGTATTATGGGCGTGAGCCACCAGTGCCCTGCTTTACTGTGATATTTTGTAGGTCTTTTTCTTGAGGTGCTGATGATCAAACCCAGGGCTTTGTACATGTTAGACTAGCACACGATACCACTTCATCCCTAGCCCTTATACTTCTTTAAATGTTTAACGTTTCTAAAATGTTAGATGATAACACTATTTGCATTCAGGTCTTCCTTTTAACATGTGGGTACCCTATGTTACTGAAATATCACCTGCCTAAAGAGCATACTTTTTTTTATTTCCTTTAGACAGGCTTACTATTTAAAAGCTCAGGTTGGTCTTGCATCTGCTGTCCTGTACCCAGCCTGAGAGCATACCATTCTCATTTATCAGTTGTTGACTTGTCTTCTGAGCTCACAAATTGGGGTATTTTAATTTTGTAGTCTCTGTAATTATGTTGCTAGAACTTTCATATTTTATTTTTGAAGTATTTGGAAATATTCAAATTGCTATATTAAACCTTTTTTTTAATTCTCATTTTAAAAGTTAACAATTGGGACTTTACACTTGTTTTGATCTGTGTGTGTGTGTGTGTGTGTGTGTGTGTGTGTGTGTGTGTGTGTGTGTGTTTGGGTACAGGAAAAATGTCCATTGTATCTCTAAAGTTTACACAGAAAGGTCCTGTTTCACAGTTCTGTCTCCCTCCCTCCCTCCCTCCCTCCCTCCCTCCCTCCTTTCCTTCCTTCCTTTCTTCCTTCCTTCCTTCCTGCCTTCCTGCCTTCCTTCCACTCTGGGCCTGGGCACTATCCCTGAGCTCTTCAGCTCAAGGTGAGTGCTCTACCACTTGATCCACAGTGCCACTTCTGCTTTTCTAATGGTTAATTGGAGATTAGAGTCTCAAGGACTTTCTTGCCTGGGCTGGCTTTGAACTGCAATCTGCATATCTCAGCCTCCTGAGTAGCTAGAACTATACTTGTGAGTCACTGGCACCCAGCTTCACAGTTCTTTCTTATTCATTTAGAATAGACTGAATATGCTGAAATAGGTAGACCCACAGTCACCTGAGATAAAAAGGTTGTTTTCTGTGATTTAAGAATTTCCTATTTTCTACAGGAACCCACAGCTCATGCTTTTAGCTTATGCCATGTTCTGCTGGTCCTAGAGCTTGAAATCAGGTCCTTGACCCTGTCCCTGAACTTTTTTGCTCAAGTATGACATTCCACTTGAGCCACAGCTCCTTGGCTTTTTGGTGGTTAATTGAAGATAAGAGTTTCATAAACTTTTCTGCCAGAGTTGGCTACAAACCAGCTCAGATCAAACAACCTCAGATCTCAGCCTCCTGAGAATAGCTAGAATTACAGGTGTGAGCCACCAACACCTGGTCTATCTACCCCATGTTCTTTAGATGAACATTATAGTGACAGTACTTAAGGTTCCCCAGGGTCAGGACAAACTGGTCTGACCCCTAGGCTTAAGGTTGCCAAAGAAAAGAATGTTTCTTTAGAAGCACATTTTATAGGGGAGAAGAGATGAGCTGATAAGGTGTGCCATGTCAGGGAAATAAAATGATGGCAACAAATGAGAAAACCCTTCGGATAATATACTTTCTCTCGTATCCTTGGTTGGTGCTATATTCGTAGACTCTTGATTTTACCTTTTCTATAACATCTTTACAGAGTATATTTCTTTAAGTGTTGTGTTTTCTTTCGCCCTTTGGTAGTACTTTCATTTGAACTCAGGGCCTTGGACTTGTTAGGCAAGTGGTTTACCACTTGAGCCACACCCCAGTCCTTTTTGCTTTAGTTATTTTTCAGATAGGTTTTGCTAACTTTTTTGTTGGGGCTGGCCTACAACAGTGATTCTCTGAATAGTTGGTATTACAGGTATGAGCTATTGTAGTATTTCAAATTAATAGAATATGGCTAACATAAAATGATAACATATCAAATTATAAGAATAATAAAGTAATTAGAATTTAACCACATTAGTAACATTAAATAACCACTAATGAAGTTGTCACTTTATAGCTATTGAGAAGAATCTACAAATGTGGGAAGAAATGAAAAAAGGAACTCAGTTTGGTCAGTCCTGTTGTTTGCGAGCAAAAATTGACATGAGTAGTAACAATGGGTGCCTGAGGGACCCAACACTTTACCGCTGCAAAATTCAGCCACATCCAAGAACTGGGAGTAAATACAAGTAAGTATATCTTCTTCAGTATGCCAGATAGCCTTTTATGCTTTTGTTTTGATCCTCTTTTATCAGTGTAGAGTAGTCAAACAGTCAAGAAACCATAGACTGACTGGCTAAGTGGCCTGTGGTCTTCCAGAGGTTGCTTATTTACTTGTCAAAGGTTATAGGGGGTATTTCCACTATTAACTTGTATCAATAAAAGGGCTTGATTCTCCCTAAATTTGCTTTTTGAATATCAAGTAGGTATAATTGTGTATTTTTTTCAGAGGTGAGGAACCTGATTTTGTTTTTATTTTTTCTAGTCCTGGGGCTTGAACTCAGGGCTTGGGCACTGTCCCTGAGCTTCTTTTGCTCAAGGCTAGCATTGTCACTTGAGCCACAGCTGGCTTTTTCTATTTATGTGGTACTGAAGAATCCAACCTAGGGCTTCATGTATGCTAGGCAAGCACTACCACTAAGCCATGTTCCCAGCCCCAGGAACCTGATTTTTGCCAAAGGTCACTTGGATAGTTTCAGTCTCATTTGAGGTCTATACAGAAGGTGGGAAGGTGGCTCAGTGGTAGACCACTTGCCTTGCATGCCTGAGGCCCTGGGTTCGATTCCTCAGCACCACATAAGCAGAAAAAAAAAGCCAGAAGTGGCGCTGTGGCTCAAGTGGTAGAGCGCTAGCCTTGAGCTGAAGAGCTGAGGGACAGTGCCCAGGCCCAGAGTTCAGGCCCCACGACCAGACTCCCCCCCCCCCCCAAAAAAAAAAAAATCAGTGCAGGCAGATGAGTTTGAGGGGCAGCTGACAAAAACATACTTGTCTTTCTTGTCATATACTAAATTATCTTATGGGATTTATACAACCCTTGGACCTGACAATCCCTACTTTTGCTATATGAAAATACTTCTCTTTCTATGGTAAACTTTGCCTTTTTTGTGGGCATAAATTGACTTATAGTCTAAAAATTTTAGACATAGTCTAAAAATTTTACAGAAATATAAAGAAGAAAGTAAAATCTTTTTTTCAAGTTTGTTTTCTCTGGATTTTCAGTTCTTTTTTATGATGCTAAGGCATAAATCATTAATTTTCAGTGTGAAATAGATAATAAAACACAGTATAGTACCACTCTACCACTTGAGCCACAGTGCCACTTCTGGCCTTTTCTGTTTATGTGGTACTGAGGAATTGAACCCAGGGCTTTATTCTAGGCTAAAGCTACCACTAAGCCATATTCCCACCCAAAGAAATTAATTTTATACTTTTTTGTTGTTGTTGGTCCCAGGGCTTGAATGCAGGGCCTGGGCACTGTACCTGAGCCTCTTTGTGGTCTACCACTTGAGCCATAGTGCCAATTCCTCTTTTTTATCTTATTTTTAAGACAAAGTCTCACTGTGTAGCCCATGTCATTTTCGAACATATGATCCTGCTGCATCCTTGAAAGTTTTATGCATTATTATAAACTTTTATAAGAAATTACTTTATAGGAATTTTAAGAAATTGTTTCAAAGATTAAGAAAAATAGGCTTTTATTGTTATTTGCTTAGTACTATGGCTCATATACAGTATTTAGCATGTTCCAGGCAGCTGCTTCAACACCGTTAAAGAAAATTATATGTTCAGTAGGATTACTTTACTTTTTTGGAAATATTGGTATTAGAATTGAGGGCTTCAGGCTTGCTAATCAGATGCTGTACCACTGGAGCTACACCGCATTATTTTTGAGACAGTCTCCCCTTTTTCTCTGGGGTGGCCTTGACCACAATCCTATTCTTAATAATTACAACTATAGTTGGGATGACAGTTACATACTACTGTGTCCAGCTGTTGATTGGGATGAATGTCTCTTGAACTTTTTTTGGGGTCTGGTCGTGGGGCCTGAACTCTGGGCCTGGGCACTGTCCCTCAGCTCTTCAGCTCAAGGCTAGCACTCTACCACTTGAGCCACAGCTCCACTTCTGGCTTTTTTCTTTTTGCTTATGTGGTGCTGAAGAATTGAACCCAGGGCCTCATGCATGCAAGGCAAGCACTCTACCACTGAGCCACCTTCCCAGCCCTGTCTCTTGAACTTTTTGCCAAGGCTTTCCACAAACTGCTGTCCTCTTGTTCTTAGCCTCCCCAGGACAAGTGCGAGGCCCTTATTAGTTCAACCCCCAGTAATAGTACACACACAAAAAAAGCCCCTTTAAAAAAAAACCAAAACTCTGAACTTACAAAGAATTATAGTTTTTGTTACTATTGCTGCTTATAAATGTTTTAAAATAGGAACATAAAATAGGTAATGTTGATTCAAAAACATTCTTTTTTTCCCTAGTGTGTATCCAACATATGATTTTGCCTGTCCTATAGTTGACAGTATTGAAGGAGTTACACATGCCCTGAGAACAACAGAGTACCATGACAGAGATGAGCAGTTCTACTGGATTATTGAAGCTTTAGGGATAAGAAAACCATATATCTGGGAATATAGTCGCCTAAATCTCAACAACACAGTGCTGTCCAAAAGAAAACTCACATGGTTTGTCGACGAAGGACTAGTAGATGGATGGTATGTTTCATATTACCTAGAATTGACAAAGAAGTATTTGTATCTGATTTTTTTTTTTTTTGGTTCAAATAACAAATGTTTTAATAATAGATATAATTATGCATTTCATATATGTAAAATTTTTATATCTGATTTTTCATGTAACTCAGTGGTGGTTCAGGGGACTGGGAAGGTGGCTCAGCATGCATGAGGCCCTGGGTTCGAGTCCTTAGCACCACATAAACAGAAAAAGCTGGAAGTCGCGCTGTGGCTCAAGTAGTAGAGCGCTGGCCTTGAGCTGAAGAGCTAAAGGACAGCGCCCAAGCCCAGAGTTTGAGCCTCACGCCCAACAACAACAAAAAAATGGTGGTTCAATGGATGGGCCTGTGGGTCTATATAGAAGTCCTGGTTTAGACATCATTTCACTTAGTGCCTTATTGTTCCTCCCCAACCCTACCTTGTTTTAATGTTGTCAGCATGGAATGCTCACTGTAGAACATGCATGGCACATGAGAATGAAAATCACACGAGATCACATTTTTGCAGAGCTCATCGTTTAACAAAAAAGTGTATATAACTCTGGTATTTCATAGATCTAGTACCATTCTCCACACTCTGTTATGGCCAAAATACTCTTGAGATAAAGATTTAAGCGCTCTCGGTCTTGATGTGTTGAGGACTAATTGCCAAAGGATTTTGCCTCTAGAAAGAATATAAAAGTTTCTGTGGCATGTTAATAACCTAAATGATATTTTTATAAGAAAGATGAGTGTAAAAATGAAAGATTGTATAGTCATGTATCTATAACGGAAACCTATTCATGTTGATTATCATGCTCATAAATCTAAGAGAACTGATTTACCAGAACTAATACAAATTATAATTTATTACTCATTAGATGTCTTTTATTTTCTGCATCTACACATTTTAAAACACCTCCTTGGTTTTCATATTTCCCAGGGATGACCCTCGATTTCCTACAGTCCGTGGTGTTTTGAGAAGAGGAATGACAGTTGAAGGACTGAAACAGTTTATTGCTGCTCAAGTGAGTTGTTTTCTTTCATAGGTTCTCTTTTAATTTGTAGGTATTTCTGTTAATATCCTTTTACTTGTTATTATTTCTGTTATTCCTATTTCTTGTGTGCCTTATGATTCAAGGATAGAGTTAGGATTTGTGTACAGTAGTATTTGGGCTTGAACTTAGGGGTCTTGTACTCTTCACTTTTAATTTTTTTGCCAGTCATGGGGCTTAAACTGTGGGCCTAGGTGCTGTCCCTGAGCTCTTCACCTCAAGGCGAGCACTCTACCACTTGAGCCACAGCGCCACTTCTTGTTTTCTGGTGGTTAATTAATTGGAGATAAGAGTTTCACAGACTTTCCTGCTGGGGCTGGCTTTGAACCATGATCCTCATATCTCAGCCTTCTGAGTAGCTAAGATTACAGGCGTGAGCTGCTGGCGCCCAGCTAGGATTAGCTTTTTATAATAGTGGAAAATTTAGATTGTCCTAAACTCCTAACCTAACATTGAACATAGGTGAAGAATTTTTATCCAGTAAAAAGTATGACTGAACTTTGACAGTAAATGGTTAAGTATAACAAATCAGTTTGCATGCAACAAGTTTTAAATTTCAGTTGAACTAAATGTATAAATATTTACTGAGTTTTTATTTTTCTAAAACTGTTTGATTTGAAACAAAGTATTTACTACTTCTAGTCTTAAAATATTTTTATTATTGTTTTAGGGCTCCTCACGTTCTGTTGTGAACATGGAGTGGGACAAGATCTGGGCATTTAACAAAAAGGTACAGAGGTCATTCTCAGTTCACACTGTCACTCCTCACTTTGGAATAATACACACGTAGAAATCATTAGTGTCCTATGGCAGAGAAAAATTTTGGAAGAATATTAATCATTTTGCAATCTTCCAGGAAAATGGAATGTTTTCCTTTTAAAAATGGCTAAAGAGCCATCACACCAACAAGTAAACAATAATTGAAACAAACTTGGATGTATGGGAAATGGTCATTGTTTTTTCCTTTAACCTTTTGTGAACACTCTGCATTTCATTTTTCTGCTTTCAAGCTGCGAGCTCTCTGTAAGAAGGTATTACTTAATGCTTGTATTCGCCTTACTTTAAGCATAGCTTCTTAGCCTATTACATGTTATCATCGAGTGAAGCACAATCACATTTATATAAAAGTCTTATTTATGTAAACATGTTGAGAATACATTAATCCAGCCTTATAAAGTATGTCCTCTACTTGATGGCAAAGGGGAAGACTTGGCTAACTTCATTCTACTGTTCCCTTGTGTGCTGAGAGGACTCAAAGCTTTAAAATTACACATCATTGGGTTGTGTGGAAGGTTTACTAGTTGCAATTTCTGTGTCTTATTGGATCCAGCTTTAAAAACAAAAGAAAATAAAACTGAAAATCAAATGAGGAATCATGCAAATTGATACTGTTATTTACTAACTGGGAGCAGATGCTTAGATACTATAATAAGGCAAATCATTTTTTTTTAAATGCCGTGTATTAACTATGGTTTCTGTGATTGTGTGCTATAAATTCTTTATTGGGATTGCTGCTTGATTGTGCTGATGTCTTGCCTCAAGAAATAGTTTGCTTGTCTTGCATGTGTCCTTTTTGTGTTCAGTCAGTTTTTTGAAAATAAAGGAATTACTAACTGGCTCTTTGTTGCTGCAGTTACTAATAATAAATTTAAGATTTGCAGGTAGGTTAGCACTTCCATTAATTTGTTAATTATCCACTTTTATAGATTTAAGTTTTAATAGTTTTACATATATATTTTGTTCAAATATATTAAAAGAATTTCACTGTCAATTCTGTAGATGATGTTGAAGATGCACAGCATTGCCTCATCCACCTCCTGACTTCTGCTCCTCTTCTCTTCCCTCCCACATGTAAAATAGGTGCTCTTCCACTGAAGCAGAACCCAGTCCATCTCTGCTGTTTGTTCTTTCTGGAACTTTTCTTGCGCTATTATCTTCTCTTATTCTGTATTTGGTCTTTGGTTCTGTTATCTGGACATTACTGACCTTCTGCCATTCTGATGAATCTTTCATTCATGTTCTTTTCAAGATTTCTTGTATGAATTTTCAAAATGGCTTCCTATTTATTGTGTTTTCTTCCATTAACAGTCAAGGCCAGTCTCAGGTGTCGGGTTCATTTTAATGTCTGTCTGTGTTTGATATGGGAGACTACAAGAGTAAGTGGAGGCTTGAGGAACAAGAATTGGTGATGAGCTGACTGGGCAGGTTGGAGAACTTCCAACCTTCATGTCATTAACTTTTCATCTCTTATAGCAGTTTTCCCAAAGGGAAATTCTTTTAATCACCCCTTAAAGCAGAAGGCCCTGCTGCCAAGGCTTTGGAGCAAATTGGGGAGTGACTGCTGAGGGCTTTCACACTTAGTCTCACCTGTTATTTCCTCCTTGTGTTTGCAATTCAATACTTTCCCTTTCAGCTCCTTTTGGCTTCTGCTAGACAGTGGTATTTCTTGTTCATGGTACTGTTCTTCATGAGGCAGGAAGGAAGCAGTCTCCTGGTTATGGAGTGATATTGGGATGCTTCTATGTTTTTTAGCTTCCAGAATTGAGTGTTAGCTTCTGTTTTGCTAGTCCTTCTGGGTTTGTTTATGGGGATTTAAGAGTCAGTTTGCTTTGTATATCCTGAAATCAGAATGATCCTTAATCCTTAAATGTTATCTAATAAAAGTATTTTGGTTGAGAATAAAATTGAATCATTTTGATTACATACTTTTGTTTCTTTTATTGATCTTCATGACATTTTCCTATATGAAAACCATTCTGTCTACCTCTTTGGTTCAGATCCTTTATTTAGGGTTCTCTTATTACTGCTAACTACTACTAGGTTGTTTTCTATCTTATTTTCTTTCTGATGTCTACAGATACAATTTAAGTGAAGCATCATTAAGCCATATTTAGCCGTGGTGTTGGGAAGTGTTTGTTAAGGGAGAAGCTAAACCATCTTCCATTAACCTTACTGCTTTTTACTAACAATTTTCAGGGGAAAGAAATTAAGCAGCCTCTATTTGAAAATGACCTGAGGGTCTTTACATACTCATTTAGAGAAAAAGCTTTAACATGTTTTCTCCTTGCTTTAACTTAACTTCAGAAATTTAAACTTGTACTCTACCACGTTAGTCACAGCTCCAACTTCCAGCATTTTGGTGGTTAATTTGAGATATAAGTCTCATGGATACTCCTATTAGGATTGACTTTGAACCAAGATCCTTAGATCTAGGCCTCCTGAATAGCTAGGATTACCAGTGTGAGCCACCAGCTCCTGGCAAAAAATTTAAACTTACAAGTCTAAACCAAAATGTCACAGATTTAAGGTGTTTACTTCAGAGCTGTTACTTGTCTTTGGTAACTTTTGTAGCTGTATTCATTTTTAAATGTATGTTTCTAAGTAGTAAGGTAATAGTCTTCCCCAGTCTCAGTCTCTTTGCCTTTGCTTGCAGCTACTAGATCAAAGTGTGTAGTCTTTTCTTCCTGCCCCACCAACAAGCAATCTTCCAATGAAAGTATTTGCATAAAGCACAACAAATAAAACAAACTTGAAGCTGCTGTGGTTGAAGCATGGGAAATCCTCAGGCTCTTTGGAGTAATTTCCAAACGACTGAACCAGAATCTTTGAGACTTGTGTTATTTTTGAGTGAGGACTTAAATCTATTTTATGCATTTATTTATTTATTTTTGTGGGTTGTAAAGCTTGAACTCTGGGCCTGAGCGCTTTTCTTCCCAAGAGTCTCACTGTGATCCTCAAATCCCAGCTTCCTGAGTAGCTAGGATTAGAGGCGTGAGCCACAGTGCCCGGCTAATCTATAGAATGGTGTTCTACTGTATTACATAGGCTGGTCTCAAACTCCTGGGCTCAAGTAATTCTTCTGCTTTAGCCTCTAGAATAATTAAAGTACAGTGTTTACCACCATAACCACATATAGACTTAAAAGTTTTTAGTCCAAAGTTTCCCAAACTTCTTTGATGTTAGCCATCCTGTTGAGTGCTTGTTTGAATTTCCAACTGGAGTTGTGGCACAAGTGGTAGAGCACTTGTTCATTAAATGTAAGACCTAAGTTGAAAGTTCAGTATTGCCAGCGAATAAATTTCCAGACTATACTTAAGACTACTAGAACCACTGTCAGGTTAAGTGGACCGACAGTCTGCATTAATAAATGCCCCAGCTGACATTTTGTTAGATGGGAAAACAGCTGCAATGACTTGAGTTAAATTTCCCAGATATTATTGTCTTGTTTTATTTTCTTTAAACTAAATTTTGTCTTACTTTCTTAGATGCTAATCTGAGTTGTTACAAATTAAATCTTTGATCATTCTAGGGTGGTAGAAGCTGCAAAAGGCAGCCCTGAATTAGGATCTTTAAGCCTCAAGGAGAGAATAGTAAACTTAAGGCTGAGTAATGATTTAATATTGTCACAAAGTATAAGCAGACAAGGGGAATTTAATAGCTTTCTAAACTTTGTGGTAATGACTTGAGGATGGCTTTTTTTCTGAGTTCTTAAGAATGTCTATTATTCTTTCCTAAAGCAAAATATTACTCTCAAAGTAAATGAAAAAGCCAACCCAACAATAGTAGCAATAAAAAAATGTAAAACAAATGTAGCCAGGTTTAGTTATATGTACCACTATTTCCTATACCCTTCTAAAGGGGTGGAAATCTATTTATAGTTTTTTTTCCCAGATGTTTTATAGAATATCTGAATTCTGTGATGAATAGTCACCATTGGTAAGTTTAATTTGAGCAGGAAAGTGAAAGTATAGTACATTGGCTTCAGAAGGAGACTACTGCTGCTTGAGAGAGAGAATAGATTACAATGATGCACTCAATTAATCTTTGTTGATTACCTGTATTTCCAGACCTGTATTTCTAGATACTGGGAATAATAGTGTTTCCTGAATATGTATATATTCTGAGTATTCATTATCTAAAACGTTTGGAACCATAGCACTTCAGATTTCAGACTTGTAGCTTACGAGTGCCCAACATTTGTATAAGATGTAGGACAATAGAATTATATTGTTTATGCTTTTATAATCTATGGAATTGCCTTATTATAGTGATCTAATGCTGTACTGCTTTTGATGGTGCCATGTTGCCTAACTGGTTATAAAAAAAAGATACAGAAACAATAGCTATAGTCTTTTTAAAATGGTTTTCTCCAACAATGCAATGTTGTAAATTACATTTACCTATAGGGATTTCTTCTCTCTTAGATTACCAGATATTTGTTTGTTTGTTTTTGGTCAGCCTTGGGACTTGAACTCAGAACTTGGGCATTGTCCCTAAGCTATTTTACTCAAGGCTTCACTAGATACCGGATTTAAAGATAATTTTCAACACCTATCAGTAGTTATTCTAGGGAAAGAACTCTAAATCTTTTATGTTGTGTAAGCTTATGACTTTTGTCATTTTCCTGCTTGATGAATATTAGATATGTGAGAACAGATAAACCACAAAGTTTAGTAAGTGCAGTAACAAAGCCAGTTAGTATTTCTGTGCTGTTATTTACTTTTATTTATGACATTTTACAGAATATTTCAGTGTTGTAACATGAGGATGTGTTTGTTGCAGGTTATTGATCCGGTGGCCCCACGGTATGTTGCATTACTAAAGAAAGAAGTGATACCAGTGAATGTCCCAGAAGCACAGGAGGAGATGAAAGAAGTAGCAAAACACCCAAAGGTCACCTGACAGTTTCACCAATGGTTTTTGTGTTAAAGGACATGGCATGGTTTGGGGATAAATTTCTTTTCATCATCAATTATCAAGATTTGATACCAATTTAAGCAAATTTTTTTGTGGATTTCTTGCCAAGAGATTTATTCTGCTAATAATATAGAACACACTATATAAAATGGTTATATTTAATTCATGCTGAAATTTTGTTCAGTAAAGAAAGCATATTAATATATAAAAATAAATATAAAAAGAATTTATCTCCTCTTGGAGTCATTCTGAGAGATGAAGTACTCTAATTCACATTTTGGCTTTTTTTTTCTTCCTCCCATAGTACTAGGGTTTGGATGCAGCACCTCACTCTTGCTAGTCTGGTGTTCTGCCACTTGAGCACAACTCTGCCTTTTGCTCATTGGCTAGTGCTCTGCCAGCTCTTTGCTGGTTATTTTGGAGATAAAATCTAGCAAACTTTTCTTCCTGGTCTGGCAGACCATCTGGATTTCAGCCTCCTGAGTAGCTAGGATTATAAGTGTAATCTTTTTTTTTTGGTGAGGCACAGAGATACACACACACACACACACACACATATGAAGACTAATACTGAATATTGACTCATAACTTGACTTCAGAATACAAATGTTCTACAGTGACGTTTAACCTTCCTCCCCTGTACTCCCCAGCTTTTTTTTTTTTTTTTTTCCTTTCTGTACTGAGGTTTGAACTCAAAGTTTCAAGCTTGCTAGGCTGGCACTCTGTTAGTTGAGCCAATCATCCAACCCAGTTTTTTGCCAGCTGTTTTTTAGATGGGGTCTTTTGAACTTTCCTGCCTGGGCTGGCCTTGACTGTGATCCTCTGTTCTCAACCTTACAAGTAGCTTACTGGCAATGTCTGCTACATTGTTACATTCATTAAGCAATTAGTAAACACGTCCTTTTGAATGATTTTTGCATTTAATTAATTATTTATTTATGTAGGGGGTTTTGAGACAGTCTTGCTATGTAGCCTAGACTGATCTTGAGCTTGTGATGCCTCTGTCTTAGCTTCTTGAGTTCTGTCATTTTAGAATGTAACAAAGAGAGCATGCTGTTTATTTCTCATCTCTTTCTTCTGCATATAATGTGGGAAGACAGAAAATTTACCTGCCTCTCAAAATTTGTCTCCTAAAATGTGACAGATTAAAAATTTCCTGCTCAAGTGGCAATGTGTGGTAGAAAATAACTGAGAAAGTAAAAAACAGCCAGTGAAGTAATGGGGATAACAGAACGTGGTTGTAGCTCTGAAATCCATGAATGATTGCTATATACTAGAAGCACTCTTAGGCACAGGCTCCCTACCTCATTTACCTCCAGTACAGTGATCAGATCCATGTGACAACTGGGATTGGAACTAAGGATTTTTTGTCATTAGGTTAGTGTAACTGTTTATCTAACAGGTGTTACTTTTCGAATGCCAAGAAAAGAATTAAAAATACACTTGTGTTAAATGGATCTCAAAAAGCATTTCTTCTTGATATAGCAATAGGCTTTTAATGATGTAGTAATACAATGAATAGATGAATTAATGAACCAGATTTGCCTGCTAGGATCAGGCTACAATAAGCTGTTGCTCTAACTAACATTCCCTCTCTCACTCTTTATAATCAGAATCCCGATGTTGGCTTGAAACCTGTATGGTACGGTCCTAAAGTTTTCATAGAAGGTGCTGACGCAGAGACTTTCTCAGAGGGTGAGATGGTTACATTTATAAATTGGGGCAACATCAACATAACTAAAATATACAAGTAAGAATTTTTTTGTTTTCTAATGAATTTGGAAAAATGTCTTTTATGTTTACTTATTATATATAAATATCGCCTTATTTAGACCTTGACTGAATGTTTTGACGTGTTCTCACTGGTAAATCTTTCTAGACATAAATATTGTAAATTCTGGACACTAACTTTTTTGTATTATATATTCCAGTTTACTAATAAGCTATTTGGATCTGTTTTGTGATATTAAAATTATTTTATCCAAATGTAAAACATAGTTTTAAGGGACTTTGGAGACCTTTAACAACATGTTTTGTACATAAATGCCTAATGGGATGCTTCTTTTGAGATTTTAATTCAGATTTATAATGCTTAATGTATTAAGCATCAAAGTAATTTTAGATTTACATCAGATATGTATGGATTGTCTAGTGGATTATTGGTATCTTAACAGCAGAGAATGCTTTTTTCATCTAAATTGCTAATAAATGTCTGATATAAATTAGAAACTCAAGTTTGAGTTAAATTTTTTTCTGAAGAAAACTTATTTAATAAAAATAATTTTATAATTAGTTAAAATAATCACCATAGAATAATATGTATTTGTAGCAGTTAAGCTTAATTTAATATTTCTCAATCTTAAATCTAGAAATGAAGATGGAAAAGTTGTATCTCTTGATGCAAAATTGAATTTGGAAAACAAAGACTACAAGAAAACAACTAAGATTACATGGCTTGCTGAGACATCGCATGCACTTCCTACTCCAGCTATCTGTGTCGCTTATGAGCACTTGATCACAAAGCCTGTACTGGGAAAAGATGAGGACTTTAAGCAGTATGTCAACAAGAACAGTAAGGTAACCTTCTATACTTATCTCTTTCTGTTATAGAAACTTAACATTTTTAAAGTTGATTGTAATTGTTGTGGTTTCTCAGGTAAGATGGAAAATCTCTACAAAATTGTATGTCAGTTATAAAGAAAACAAAACAGGTGTGGTGATGGTATGTGTCTGTAATCCTCAGCACTTATGAAGCTGAGGCAGGTGGTTTTTTTGTTTGTTTGTTTTGCCAGTTGTGGGGCCTGAACTCTGGGCCTGGGCGCTGTCCCTCAGCTCTTCAGCTCAAGGCTAGCACTCTACCACTTGAGCCACAGTGCCACTTCTGGCTTTTTCTGCTTATGTGGTGCTGAGGAATTGAACCCAGGGCCTCATGCATGCAAGGCAAGCACTCTACCACTGAGCCACCTTCCCAGCCTCAGTAAAGTTTTTAACGTTTATTAAAAATAGGAATATTTGAGCAACTACAAAACTTGGTTGTGTTTCAGAGTTTTCTAGTGTTCTTATTTGAAAAAGTATAATCTTGTATCATCTTTATAGCGTGAAGAACTAATGCTAGGGGATCCATGCCTTAAGGATTTGAAAAAAGGAGACATTATTCAGCTCCAGAGAAGAGGATTCTTCATATGCGATCAGCCTTATGAACCTGTAAGGTAAATATTTGTATCTATTTTATGTGTGTTTCGTTGGAGAGCGAGTCCAGAATTCCACACATGAAAGGCAAGCATTCTGCCACCAAGCTCCCCAGCTCCAAGGAGTGGCTTTTAATTTTATTTATTTTTTAGTCCTGAGGCTTGAATTTAGGTCCTTGAGCTTTGTTACTCTGTCTCTTGAACCATAGCTCCACTTCTGACTTATTGGCAGCTAAATGTCTCATACACTTTTCTGCCTGGGCTTTGAGCCATACTCCTCAGATCTCAGCTTCCTGAGTAGTTAGGATTGCAGGCGTGAGCCACCAGCACCCGGCTCATGTATAATGTACTTTTAATCATGGGCCCCCCCTCCCAGGAATTTAATTTTAGTTGTTGTTTTAGATATTTTATTCAAATCAGCTTTTTGGCCTTTTATTTTCTTTTTAGCCCACATAGTTGCAAAGAAGCTCCATGCATTTTAATATATATTCCTGATGGACATACAAAGGAAATGCCAACCTCTGGGTCAAAGGAAAAGACCAAAGTAGAAACCACAAAACATGAGGTAAACAGCAGTCTGTCTTTCTTTATGCTTACATTATTCTTTTTTTTTAATTTTTGATATAATTTTGGAAGTAGCATTGAACATGAGCCATTAATTCTACTTTTGACTTAATACATGTCTAGATAACTTCTCCTCTTAAGGAAAGGCCATCATCTCCTTCCCTGAATAATACGTGTGCTACATCTGAGGATTCCTTGGCCCTTTACAACAGAGTGGCTATTCAAGGGGATACAGTGCGTGAATTAAAAGCCAAGAAAGCAGCAAAGGAAGACATAGATGCGGCAGTTAAACAGCTTTTGGCTCTGAAAGCTGAATATAAAGAAAAAACTGGCCAAGAATACAAACCTGGAAGTCCTCCAGCTGCAGTAGTACAGAATGTTTCCATATCACCAGCAAGCACTGTGGACAGCAAATCTCTCTATGATAAAGTTGCTGCACAAGGAGAGGTGGTTCGAAAGCTGAAAGCTGAAAAGGCCCCTAAGGTCAGTGTTCTAGAGCTAGTGCAGATCTCACCAGAAGTAAGCACATGAGTTGATGCTTCATAGGATAGTCTAGTCTTCTAAACAGATTGCTTAGAGACCCCACCTGCATGAATATTTTGACCTAATAATCAGCAAATGAAAACATTAAGACTCACAATTAGGGATTTGGTTTTCTGGGAAAGAAACATACAAATTAACTATAACTGTGTAATGTGACCATATTCTGTGTTATATGTATGGACTGATGGCAGTAATTGTAGTCAGGGGAAAAAGAAACAATTCATAAAGCTATTGAAATATTCCTAAGGGTTTGTTTAGCCTGCTGGAGAAAACAAATACAGGGAGAAAGGACAGAGGGAGAGGGTGAGAGGCAAAAGGAGTAAGAAAAGAGAGTTTATAAAGTAGTTAGAAGCCTTTTATAGAAAATAAGTTGAGAGAGAGGCATTTTAAATGTGGAACCATGGTTCTTAAGCTCTATTGTATATAAATATCATTGGAGAGCTTGCTAGAATACATGCTGAACACCCACCCCTTTACCTTCCTAGTAATGGGGAAACTAGTAAATAGTGGGTGGAGAAAATGCACAAAAATTGTTTGGTCGTGCACATGCTGCTGGCCAAGGAATTGTGCTTTGAGAACTACTAGTATAAAAACAGAGGTGATGGGGCTGGGAAGGTGGCTCAGTGGTAGAGCGCTTGCCTTACATGCATGAGGCCCTGGGTTCGATTCCTCAGTACCACATAAGCAAAAAGAAAAAAGCCGGAAGTGGTGCTGTGGCTCAAGTGGTAGAGCGCTAGCCTTGAGCTGAAGAGCTGAGGGACAGTGCCCAGGCCCAGAGTTTAGGCCCCACGACCGGACCCAACAACAACAACAAAAAAAACAGGTGATTAGGTGCTGTGAACCCAGAAAAAAATGAATAGGTTGTTGAGGACGTTTGACCCTCTTCATAGGGAGGTTTCAAGTGATAGAGCAAATGCTGCCTGACATTTCATTCTTGTTTCAGTATGACCCTAAGGGAACAGCCTGGTGTGTGGTAGAGCTTTGATATGGAGGGGATTAAAGAGGAGATGCTGTCTCTGATAGGAAATCAGGCTTAAAAATGAAGAAAGACTGGAATGAGAATGTGGTTAGTGGTAGAGTGCTTACCTAGCATGTATGAAGCTCTGGGTTCGATTCCTCGGTACCACAGAAATAGAAAAGGCTGGAAGAGGCACTGTGGCTCAAGTGGTAGAGGGCCAGCCTTGAGCTAAAGAAGCTCAGGGACAGTACCCAGGCCCAAACCTGGGGTTCAAACCCCTGAACTGGCAAAAATAAATAAAAAGGAAGAAAGACTGAGATAACGGCACACTTCTTTTAAAAATATACGAAATAGAGTTGTAACATGTTTCTGATGAGCTGTCCAAAATTGTACAATGGCGCTGTGGTTTGAACACAGGCATGGCATACCACTGTGTTTGCCTTTGGTAGCTAGAAGGGATTTGTTCTAACATTATCATGGGATCGGTGGGCCTAGTAACACAAGGCTGCAAGTTGTTGGGCACCTGCCCTGGGACCCCTGCCACCTAAAATACTTTTTATTCCTGAACATTTATTTGAGCACCAAGGAAGAGAGAAAAGGTTTGCCAGGGTTCAGTATTTTTTCTGTGTCTCCCTTGTGATGTTTAGAAATTCTTCTGTTTTTATCTCTATTTTTTTTGGTGTCAGTTGTGAGGCCTGAACTCTGGGCCTGCGAGCTGTCCCTCAGCTCTTCAGTTCAAGGCTAGCGCTCTACCACTTGAGCCACAGCGCCACTTTTGGCTTTTTCTGCTTATGTGGTGCTGAGGAATCAAACCCAGGGCCTCATGCATACAAGGCAAGCACTCTACCACTGAGCCACCTTCCCAGCCTTCTGTTTTTATCTCTACTGACACTTTTTAGGTTTCTGAAGAGCCATAGTTATCTAAAATTTCTGTTAACATTTTCAGTTGCAAAGAAATTAGGGTTTTTTTCTATTTAGTTGAAAATGCCTCCTGTCCTAGTGGAAAAATACCTAGTGGCTGCTGCAGAAGTAGCTCTTTGAGTATAGATCCTGGGGTTTTGACTCAGGGCCTGGGCACCCTCCTTGAGATTTTTTTTTTTTTTTTGGTCAGTCGTGAGGCTTGAACTCTGGGCCTGAGTGCTATTCCCTTAGCTTTCAGCTCAAGGCTAGTGCTCTACCTTGAGCTACAGCACCATTTCCAGTTTTCTGGTGGTTTCTATTGGAGATAAGAGTTTCATGGACTTTCCTGCCCGGGCTGGCTTTGAATTGCAATCCTCAAATCTCAGCCTCCTGAGTGGCTAGGGTTACAGGTATGAGCCACCAGCGCCCGGCGAGATTTTTCTTCTCTTTTCTTTTCTTTTTTTCCTCAAGTCCAGTCCTTCACCACATTAGCCACAGCTTCACAGATGGCTTTTTGTGGTTAATTGAAGGTAAGAGTCTCATGGACTTTCCTGCCTGGGAACCTAGATCCTCAGATATTAGCAGCCTTGGTAGCTGTTATTTACATAGACTTGATCCACCAGCACCTGACTTACTTCTCAGTTTTGAATTATAATTGTAAGATCATTTTTGCTTACCACTAAAATTTTTACTACAGTCTTACGTACAAGTTGTTTCCTTTGAACCCTCACAAATCTTTTGATGTCATTTGCATCACTAATTATTTATTGAAAAATTTGTATAGTAGCATATATTAAATTAGCATACTTATCTGTATGCTTGTGTACTTAATAATTGCTAAATTGCTAATCATATCTAATACAGTGTAAGTGCTATGTAATAGTCATACTATATAGAGGAATAATGACATGAAAAACATATCTGTACATGTTCAGTACAGATGTAATTCCCCCCCTCCCCCAAAAATACATCTTGGAATTTAGTAAGTATGCTTTATTCAAATGGGTATTTGAAAAGTTTTTCAAATAAATGATTAGTTTGGGTTGTTTGTTTTGTTTTTTGTATGATATAAAGTTGCCTGTGGGGGAGGTCTTTCAGCTCAGGACTTTCCATTGTTAGGCAAACATTGTACCACTTGACCCAAACTCTCAGCTCTTTTTGTTTCAGCTTTAGTTTTGTTTGTTTGTTTTTGGAGAGAGTGTTATATTTTTGCCTAGGGTTGCCTCCTACATTGCTGTGTTTCAGCTGTGTACTATTACACTTGGTGTATTGGTTGAGATTGGAGTCTCAATTTTTTTTTTCCTGAACAGATTTTGAACTGCAGTCCTCCCAATCTCAGCCTCTCCAGTAGCGGGGATTATAAACAGTGCCACCATGTTTGGCCCAAGATCCAATTGTTGGGGCTGGGAATGTGTCTTAGTGGTAGAGTACTTTTCTAACATGCCCTGGGTTCAATTCCTCAGTACCACCTAAACAGGAAAAGCCAGAAGTGGTGATGTGGCTCCAGTGGTGCTAGCCTTCAGCATAAAGAAGCTCAGGGACTTCCCAGACCTTGAGTTCAAGCCCTAGGACTACAAAAAAAAACCAAAAAACTTCGGTTTCTTTTTGGCTATACTGGAATTTGAATTCAGTCTTGGCATTTGCTGGTCAGACTTTCTACTCTGTGGGCCATGCTTCTAGCTCCAATATATATATATATATAGTGTGTGTGGGTGTGGGTGTGTGTTTAAATACCTTTGACTTTTAGTTGGATAAATCTGTGGACATACTGAGTTAACTGTACTTTGGTAATAATTGAAGACTTTTAGATTACATTGAAATGTTCAGAAATTTCAGTTAATAGTACTTCTTTTTCTCCTTTATCTCAGGCCAAAGTAAATGAAGCAGTAGAGTGTTTACTCTCCCTGAAAGCTGAATATAAAGAAAAAACTGGGAAGGAATACATACCTGGTCAGTCCCCATCATCTCAAAGTTCAGATTCAGGTTCTGTCAAAAATACTGGTACTGCTGGTCCAGAAACATCGGAAGCAAAAGCGTTTTTTGACAAAGTAGCTTGTCAGGGAGAAATAGTTCGAAAGCTTAAAGCTGAAAAAGCCTCTAAGGTGAGTGTTGTGTTTGCTTTGTGCACTTTTGTTTTTCCCATTTCATGCTGTTTTCTTTGCCTAGAACACTTTGTCTCCATCTACTTGTATTTCAGTTCTCACTGTTCTTATCTTGCCTCTTAGAGAAACCCCTTTCCCCAACTAGATATAGCTGAATATTTTCATGTCATTGCTTTTCCTGACAGAGTATGTAAAGAGCCTGTTTTTTTGTTTTTGTTTTTTGTTGGTCATGGGGCTTGAACTCAGTACCCTGTGACCTGTCCTTGCTTGAGCTTTTTCACTCAAGTCTAGCATTCTTCCACTTTGAACTTCCAATTTTCTGGTGGTTAATTGGAGATAAGAGGCCAGACTTTCCTGTCTGGCCTGGCTTCAAACCTTGATCCTCAGATCTCAGCCTCCCTAGTAGCTAGGATTATAGGTATGAGCCACCATCATCCAGTATACAAGCCTCCTTGTCAGTCTCAGAATAGGGTTTTTTTGTTTTGTTTTGTTTTAGCTCTGGTCTAGTTTCTGCTAATTCTATTTTTGTTTTGTCAGTAATGAGATTTGAACACTGGGCTTACAGCACTGTCCTTAAGCTTTTTTGCTCAAGGCTAGTGCTCTACTACTTTGAGCTACAGCTCCACTTCTGGTTTTCTGCTAGCTAAAGAGTCTCACAGACTTCCCTGCCAGGCTTACTTGGAACCATGAAATTTAGATCTCGACCTCCTGAGTAGCTAGGATTACAGACTTGAACCACAGGCATCTGTCTATTATCTTTATAATAAAGTGTTGGATATTTTTGGCAGAGAGGAGAGGATGGAGTGGCATTGAGAAAAGGTCTCATGATATGACTCAAGTTGTCTTCAAACTTGCATATAGCCTGTGCTTACTAAACTCATGATCCTTTTCCTCAGACCTGGCTGAGTAGAATGTGTGTGTATATGTGTACAGATTCACATGCATGCAAGACAGTAAGTTGCAGAGGCTTTACAGTTTAATCATAATATAGATACTTGACCATTGCCTTCTTTATGACTGTGATATGTTCAATTTAATGGATTTTACCTTCAAACCCTATGAAATACATACTATATATTGTAGGTTTTGATGGAAATATTCTATTCTATAACAAGACTATCCAGTAGGCAGTAGGCATTAGCCATGTGTGCTATTACCATTTGAAATGGCACTATTGCAACTGAGATCATGAATTTTAACTTTATTGATTCAAATAGCCCGTGTAACAACTGATTACTGTTTGGACAGTGTTGTTATAGACTGTTGTTTCCCAGTACCCTTGTATAATTCTGCCTCTGTTTTATCATACTTTGAACTTTATTTTCAGTAATTAGTATGTTTTTGTTTTTATTTTTGTTTTTTTGCCAGTCCTGGGCTTGAACTCAAGGGTCTGGGCACTGTCCCTGAGCTTCTTTTTGCTCAAGGCTAGCACTCTACCTGATGAACCACAGCACCACTTCTGGGTTTTTCTGTTTATGTGGTACTGAGGAATTGAACCCAGGTCTTCATGCATGCTAGGCAAGCACTTTAACCATATTCCCAGCCCAACTAGTATGTGTTAACATTTACCACCTCTACCTCATACTTCTTCACACCCCCACTTCTGACAGTGTTCACAAAGCTTTGAATACTATATTTGTGTATTATGTTAAGATAGTTATTTGAATTGATTAAGTACGGTCTTATACTCCATAGGATCAAGTAGATGCAGCTGTGCAAGAACTCCTTCAGCTGAAGGCACAGTACAAGTCTTTGACAGGAGTAGAGTATAAGCCCGTGTCAGCCACTGGAGCTGAGGACAAAGAAAAGAAGAAGAAAGAAAAAGAAAATACATCTGAAAAGCAGAGTAAACCTCAGAAACAAAATGATGGTCAAAGGAAAGACCCTCCTAAGAACCAGGGGAGTGGGCTGTCATCAAGTGGAGCAGGCGAAGGGCAAGGGCCAAAGAAACAAACCAGGTGAGAAATGGCAACTTCTCTTGAAGGAAAGCAGAACTTTGAATGTAATCAATTGTTACCTTTTTTTTTAATTGTTAAATTTTTGGTTAACTTGTCCATTAGGTTATGTCAGAGAATCTTAACTCTGTAATGTCAGCGGATAACTTAATTTTAAGTTTCAATTTTCTTAACTTTTAAAACAAGTGACACATGAATTTCTTGGGCTAAGCATCTCAGAACATAAGGAATTCCTATGCTTGTTTCCCATCATTCCACTTTCCTCTGCAACGAAGATGAATTGCTGGCCGATGTTAACCTGAAAATGTGATTAGGGGTGCTCAGTTGGTGTCGTTTATGCAAATACCCCAGAATTCCAAGAACTCCAATCTAAGACTTGGTCTTAGTTCTAAAATGTAAGGGATTTTCAGCTTGTACTAATTTCTTCTGTACCTGTTGAGTAATGGCAAATATTTATAAATATTTTTATTGCCCTTTTTTAGAAAATTAGCTTATGTTAGTTTTACAGAGGGACTTCCATTGTTTTGTTTTGTTTTTGGGTCTGGTCGTGGGGCCTGAACTCTGGGCCTGGGCGCTGTCCCTCAGCTCTTCAGCTCAAGGCTAGCACTCTACCACTTGAGTCACAGCGCCACTTCCAGCTTTTTTCTTTTTGCTTATGTGGTGCTGAGGAATCGAACCCAGGGCCGCAAGCATGCAAGGCAAGCACTCTACCACTGAGCCACCTTCCCAGCCCCTGTATTGTCTTTTTAAGAGAATATAATAGTTTGTTGTTTTTTTTTGCTTATTGATCATAGATAATAAGATTTATGGAATAGTGGAGGAGTGAGTAGAACTTGTTATCCTTTACCCTCTGATTGCTTGTAAAAGGACCAAGTTTTATATAGCTGTTTTGTGGTGATGTATCACAGGAAAACATAGGGGAATGCCTATGCAAAGTTATTGGCATCTTAAAGCCAGAAAAGCCTCGCTTATAAACTAAAACACTATGCCTTATATAAGTCATGACTAATGGATAGATCTTTCTATGTAGATTGTGAGACCAAAGTTCTTTGAGTGATAGTTGGGATATTTCCTCAAAAGGATAATTGTCTGGGATAGTTACGAGTTTTATGGATGTATATGTTTGGAGTTTTATGTTTGTTTTTCAGTGGTAGAGATTGAACTCAAGTAAACATTCCCAGTGTTAGAGACTACTGAGCTACACCCATTTCCTGCAATAATTTTTATTTCAGTTGTAGTTTATTGTATGATTATCTAGCTCTACTAATTTGGTATTTTTTCAAAGGAAAATGTACAATACATATGTATATATACATATGCATATATTCACATATTCATGTGTAGCTGCTGTTTTTATTACTTTTACACCTTTTAGTGAGATATGATCTTACTATAATTTTACCATGGTTGAGAATGACATAAATTTCTTTCTTCTTTTTTCTTTTTACCAGTCCTGGGGCTTGAACTCAGGGCCTAGGCACTGTCCCTGAGCTGCTTTTGCTCAAGACTAGCTAGCACTCTACCACTTGAGCCACAACAGCACTTCTGGGTTTTTCTGTTTATGTGGTACTGAGGAATCTAACCCAGGGCTTCATGCATGCTAGGCAAGCAAGCACTCTACCACTAAGCCACATTCCTAGCCCATAAATTTCTTTTTAGTAGGGAATATACATGACTAAGCTTTGTCTTTAACAAGCACATTAATTGAGTAAAGTACTTTGTAAAAGAGATGTTTATATTAAAACTATAGCTTTTGTTAGATTTGGTAGTAGTTTTTGGGAGAGTTTTTATTTTGGGCTTTCTTCCCTTTTTTTATACCTCTGGGCTTTGTACTTTCTATTGGCTTTTAAAATCATGGCTTATGTTCCACCACTTGAACCATACCTCCAGTCTAGCATTCTGTTGGTTAATTGAGATAAGAGCCTTTCAGACTTTTGCTTGGGCTGATTTCATAGAACTCAGCTTCCTGAGCCGCTAGGATTATAGACATCAAGCCAGTTTTGTAGTTTTTGGCCAATATCTCATCTTATATGACTAAATTGTTTTCTGTATTAAAAACATTCTCTCTCTCTCTCTCTCTCTCTCTCTATATATATATATATATATATATATAGAAAATCTATATACATACAAAATATAGAAATAAGTGATACTAAAAATATACATAATCTGTTTTGAACTTCATGGCTTTATTTTCAGTTCAGCCTGCCATGATTTGAAAGTATTTCTCTAAAGTACATGTTTGGAATTTAATCCCCAAATTCATATGTTGCTGTTATTTGGAAATGTAACTTTGGGGGGTAGTGGGAGGCAAGGAGGAAAGTAAAGATTATCTTTAGGTCAAGAAAGAGGACTTTATAGGCTGGGACTGTGGCTTAGTAGTAGAGTGCTCTAGCATGCATGAACACCTGGGTTTGATTCCTCAGTACCACATAAACAGAAAAAGACAGAAGTGGTACTATGGCTCAAGTGGTACAGTGCTAGCCTTGAGCAAAAGAAGCTCAGGGACAAATGCCTGGGCCCTGAATTCAAGCCCCAGGACTGACAAGAAAGGAAAAGAACAGAGCAGAAAAGAAAAGAAAAGGAGCTTTTATAGAGTTTTAGTAGCTTTATAAGAAAAGAGATAAACCAGCAACTGCTGAGCCATGTTCCTCCATACACCATTTTTATTTTCTTTTTCATGTCTGCAGATTGGGTCTTGAGGCAAAAAAAGAAGAAAATCTTGCGGATTGGTATTCTCAAGTGAGTATGCTCTCAGTTGATTTTTTAATTTTCTCAAAGTCTGTTTTATATTTAGATAGGATCCACTCAGTTGTTAAAGTTAATAAATCTAGTAGATCCTTGGTATCTGTTAATATACCATGATCTCCAAGAAGACCACTATTGAGGGAAAACCATGAGAACTTAGGATTCATAAAGTTTAATACTATACTATGGATGCTTAATTCATTTTTCCCCATAATGCCATCAAACCCGTGTTGAAGACAAGCAGTCTGTCAACAAACCTCAATCTTCATTGTGCCATTTTAATGAACTTTGTGGATATCTTTCCTTTCCCTTCCCAGTCCCACCCCGCTTCTTTTTCCTTACTCTTTTCTCCCCTTCTCCCTGGGGCCTCTCCCTTCCTCCCCTTTTCTAATATTAGGGCATTGAACTCAAGGCCTTGCACTTTTACTAGGTTTGCCTGTTCAGCTGGTGCTCTACCACTTGAGCCACACCTAGCTTGGCTTTTTTTTTTTTTTTGTCCTGGGGCTTGAACTTAAGGCCTGGGTGCACTGGCAATGAGCTCTTTTGCTCTCTATCACTTTAAGCCACAGTGCTGCTTCCGGTTTTCTGGTGGTTAATTGGAGATAAGAGTTCCATGGACTTTCCTGCCCTGACTGGCTTCAAACCACAATCCTTAGATGTCAGCCTCTTGAGTAGCTAGTAGGCCACATGAGCAGTGGGCCACCAGTGCTCAGGTTGGCTTTTTGCTAGTTAATTTGAGATGGAATCTTAGACTTTTTTTCCTGGGCTAGCTTCCAACCTTGATGTTTTGCCTCCTTAGAAGCTAGGATTACAAGCATGAGCCACCCATGCCTGGCTGATGACTTACTTTTACTTTTGAGGAGGAGAATATTAAAGACAGGAAAATATTCATTAGATCACAGAACTATTTAAAAATAACTAGTGATAATAGAACTAAGAACTCCACATCAGTTGGGCTACATGATATGCATGTGAAATTTTAAAAAGTTTATATTTTGAATATTTAAAACTTCTGTCGAGGAAGTGGCGCTGTAGCTCAAGTGGTAGAGTGGTCGCCTTGAGCTGAAGAGCTGAGGGACAGCGCCCAGGCCCAGAGTTCAAGCCCCACGACCGACAAAAAAAAAAAAAAACTTCTGTCGAAACCAAGTGTTAGATGGGCTCAGGTGGCTCATACCTGTAATTCTTAGCTACTCAGGAGCTGAGACAGTTCTAAGATAGCCTGAGCAGAAAGGTCTGCTAGACTCTTCTCTCCAATTAACCAGCAAAAAACTGGAAGTAGAGCTGTGCCTCAAGAAGTAGAGCTGTGCCTCAAGTGCCAGCCTTAAGGAAAAAGCTAAGAGAGAATACCCTGGCCCTCAGTTCAAGTCCCAGTACCAGCACCAGAAAGAAAAAGTAGAATCTGCTATTGAGACGGGACTTACTGAATATACAGTGCCTTTCTACATATAGTCTGTGGTCTTTTGAACAAGTTAGTTTTCAAGGCATGTCCACATAAATTCTTGGATCAAAAGGCAGCCCTGGCAGTATACATTGGCTCTTAGCTATGTAGAAGTAGGGCTTGGGAGGATCACAATTCAAATCTAGCCCTGGAAAAAGCTAGCCAGATCCCATCTCAACATTATAAATAAGCTTAAGTTTAGTTGTAATAGGGCAAGTGATAGATGGTCACAGCTAGATGAGTAAGATACAGATAAGAAAGTTTTGTCCATATTTGCCTGGGTAAAAACAGAAGACCTATCTAAAAAAATAACCTGAAGTAAACAGACATAGAGGCTTGGCTTAAGTGCTAGAATACTTTTCCTAGCCTGTATGAGGCCATAAGTTAAAAGGCAAGGAGATAGTAATGGTTTGTTTTTTCCCCTAGTAAAGTCAGGGGATTTGTCTGAAGTCCCAAAGATAGTAAGTAAATAGTAGAGACAAGATTGGAGTGCAAGTCTTAAGAGTTTAGAGACCTGTTTTTTGTTGCTTCTCATTGTAGGAAGATGTGTTTTTATTATCATCCAGATCTTTCACTTTACAAGTGTGGATCAACAGAGGAAATGTCTAGATTGGACTTTCATTTTATTTACTTATTTTTTAAGACAGAATCTACTATGTAAGCCAAGCTGGCCTCAACCTTGTAATCTACCTGTCTCAGCCTCCTGAGTGTTGAGATTACAGGTGTGTGCAGTTACACCTGGCTCAGATTGGAATTTTTATTATTGTATACTTTTGCCATTTATAGAATTGTGCTTAACAGCAAAATTAAGCTTCACAGATTTTATTTTTCTCTTAAAAAGGTCATTACAAAGTCAGAAATGATTGAATACTATGATGTGAGTGGCTGTTATATTCTTCGACCATGGTCATATTCCATTTGGGAATTCATTAAGGACTTTTTTGATACTGAGATTAAGAAACTTGGTGTTGAAAACTGCTATTTCCCCATATTTGTGTCTCAAGCTGCATTAGAGAAAGAGAAGAATCATGTTGCTGACTTTGCCCCTGAGGTAAGTGAGCTTTGATTTTTTTTTTAAAGTAGCATACATTTATTGTACAAGGGGCGGTTTTATTGTTCTTCGTGTGTATACATTGTATCTGGATCATCTTGAACCCCCTGTATCATTCTCCTTCCCATTCTCCTTTCTTAAAGCAATTTCAGTAGATTTCATTCTTCTGTTTTATTACATGCAAATAAACTACTTAAGCCCTATTCATCCTCATTCACTCTCTTTGTTAGTCCTCCCTCCCTCTCCCCACTCAGCCCACCATCCTCTTTTATTTTCAAAATAATGGTGTGACCTGGGTTGCTCATGTGATTTGCATGAGGATTTTGCTTTTTCTTTTTAGTATTTTGGTAGTTCTGGGGTTTGATCTCAGGGCCTTGCACGTGCTAGACATGTGCTCTTATCTCTGAGCCATACCTCCAGCCCTTCACTCTTTGATTTTTTTGGAGTTTTCTTTTATAAATTTCAAAGTATATTTTTAGTGGTGTCTAACAACCAGTTTGTAGAAACATAAGACTTTTTATTTTAAAATTGTATTTTACCCTTGTGCCAAGTTATGATTGTCACATTACATAACTGGAACCCTATCTTCCAGTAACAGCCTCAGTGATTTGAAATTGCCTTACTGATTTTGAGAAAAAGAAAATTTGTCTACCTTTATACTATTGTTGTGAAATGCCATTGAACAACAATGCATGGAAATGATTCTATTTTACTAGGTTGCTTGGGTTACAAGATCTGGCAAAACAGAGTTGGCGGAACCAATTGCCATCCGGCCTACCAGTGAAACAGGTGAGAACAGTAGAAAGCTCATTGAGTTCTTAGCCAGCTGCACTTTTAGAGTTGAGTCTCAGCTTTTGTTTTGTGATATGTGTCATCCTTGTCAGTAGCACATTGTTCAGGAATGGTATGGAATTTTCCTTAAGCATAATAAAAATTCTTTTTTTACTTAAATTCATTGCTTTCCTGAGGCCCTGGGTTCGATTCCTCAGCACTACATAAGCAAAAAGAGAAAAGCTGGAAGTAGCGTTGTGGCTCAAGTGGTAGAGTGCTAGCCTTGAGCTGAAGAGCTGAGGGACAGCGCCCAGGCCCAGAGTTCAGGCCCCACAACCAGCCTCCCCCCCCCCCCCAAAAAATAAAATAAAATAAAATTTCTTGGAATAGTATTTCAAGGAATTTTACTACAATAGTGGTTAGTCTTGGGATTGATTAAAACATTGCAAACACACACACCACTGCAACCAACACCAAATTTTACTCATCCATTAGGAAGAATAATGATATGATTTGTAGGAAAATGGATGGAATTGGGGAGATAACAGGTTTGACAAGAAATGTACTTACTGCCTTACTTAAGTAACTGTAATCCCTATGTACATCACCTTGACAATAAAATTTAAATTTAAATTAAAAAGAAAATAGATGGAATTGGAAACAATTATGTGAAATCCAGTCCAGAATTTCTGGGATTGTGACTTAGTGGTAGAGTGCTTGCGTGAAGCCCTGTGCTCAATTCCTCAGTACGACATAAACAGAAAAAGCCAGAAGTGACACTGTGGCTCAAGTGGCAGTAGAGTGCTACCCTGAGCAAAAGAATCTCAGAGTCAGTGCCCAGTCCCTGAGTTCAAGTTCTGGACTGGCAAAAAAAAAAAAATCTGGCCCAGAGAGAAAAAATACATGTTTTCTCATATGTAGAAGTTAGATCTGAATGATAAATAATATAAGAAAATACGTGTTGGGTCCTGTGGACTTAACACAGTTGGTGAAAGTACGGCATGCCCATGGGAGGAGTCTAGCAACAAAACTCCTGAGTTTGACGAGTGAGTACCAAGATGCTGGAGCATGTTTTGTCAGGGGAAGGGAGGAGATAGGGAGCAGACCAATGGAGAGAGGGGCTAGTACTGTAATAATGTTCAATGTATATATGTGAAAATGGAATCAGGTAATGCGGAAGGATAGATGGAGTTGAGAGACATGGGGGATAACTAAAAGAAGTGACATGTTGAATTGAAATTTATTTGTACAATGACATATATATATACATACATATATAGATATATATATATATGTATGTATGTATGTATATGTATAAAAACTTTGTAAACTGGGCACCAGTGGCTCATGCCACTCAGGAGGCTGAGATCTGAAGATGGTGGTTTGAAGCCAGCCCTGGCAGGAAAGTCTATGAGACTCTTATCTCCAGTAAACTACTGAGAACAAGCCAGAAGTGGCACTGTGGCTCAAGTGGTAGAGCACTAGCCTTGAACAAAAGAAACTCGGACTCAGGACCCTCACCCCATAGTTCAAGCCCCAGGACTGACCAAAAAGTAAAAAAAAATAAAATGTACAAACTAATCCTTCATGCCATACTTATTTTTAAATTTTGTTACTCATTTTAATACATTCATAAGTAGAGTTGTGGAGTTTTTTGTTTTGTTTTTTTGTGTGGCTTAAATTCAGAGTCTTTAGCTTTTTCACTCACTTTACCACTTGAGCTACAGCTCTTCTCTCTGCTTTTTTGCGGGGTGCGGGGGGGTGGGGCAGGAGAACAGTTGTGGGGCTTAAACCCTGGGCCTGGGCGCTGTCCCTGAGCTCTTCAGCTCAAGGCTAGCACTCTACCACTTGAGCCACAACGCCACTTTTTTTCTTTTTGCTCATGTGGTGCTGAAGAATCGAACCCAGGGCCTCATGCATGCAAGGCAAGCGCTCTACCACTGAGCCACCTTCCCAGCCCCTCTCTGCTTTTTAATTAGAGGTAAGAGTCTGAAGGATTTTCTTGCCCAGGCTGGCTTGGAACCAAGATTCTCAGTTCTCTGCCTCCTGAGTAGCTAGGATTACAAGCATGAACCACTGGCAACTGGCCATGTGTAAAAATTTTAAAGGTTATTACTAAATACATTTATTTTAATCAAGTTTTTTAAATTTTCATCCTTACAACAAAACTGAAGTCACAGGCAGCTATAATCTCTTACTTTGAAGGTAAAGAAAGCTCTCTGAGAGGCTGGGAAAGTGGCTCAGTGGTAGAGTGCATGCCTCACATGCATGAGGCCCTGTGTTCAATTCTTCAGCACCACATAAGCAGAAAAAGACAGAAGTGGCGCTGTGGCTCAAGTGGTAGAGCGCTTGCCTTGAGCTGAAGAGCTGAGGGACAGCGCCCAGGCCCAAAGTTCAGGCCCCATGACTGACCAAAAAAAAAAAAGCTCTCTGAAAGACTAAGTCATTTTCCTAAAATTACTCATGGTAAATGGAAGTGCTGCTGGAAAATGACTTTTAAAGTGATTATCCATATTTAGATGTAGGAATGTTTATTTTTTATTTGATACTTCTAGTGACATTCTTGTGTGCCCTTACTGAAATTTTGATACTAGCTTTTTTTCTCACATCAAATTGGCAAGTTTTTTTAATTGATTGTATATCACAAATAGGCTCTAATTGTTATATTCTAGGTAGATCTAAGTAAGATTCATTCTAATATGTAACTGCTGAATTTGGGGAGTTTTTTAACTTTCACATCTTTGATATCGGTGATCTGTACTGATGGGCTAACGGTGAGAACTAAATAGGATTATAAATGCAAAGAATTTAACATAGAACTTTGTTTCCAAAAGCAAACAAAACATGAAAGCAGTCAAAGTAAATGAATGTTATTCTTCATGAATTTAAATTTAATAAGTATAATCAAGTGAATCCTTAAATGACTAAGTTACTTGTGTTTTCCTGTATCTTTCAGTCATGTATCCTGCATATGCAAAATGGGTGCAGTCACACAGAGACCTGCCCATCCGGCTCAATCAGTGGTGCAATGTGGTGGTAGGTCCACACTACTACTCATCATATTTTCCTTTTAGTTTTTGAAGTATTATGGATCATGATTATGATTTTTGGTTACTTACCATGTAAAGTTGTTAATAAGAATGGAAAGCTGTCTATAATAACCAACTGCACTCTTTGCTCTTCTAGCGTTGGGAGTTCAAGCACCCCCAGCCTTTCCTCCGGACTCGTGAATTCCTTTGGCAGGAAGGGCACAGTGCATTTGCTACCTTTGAAGAAGCAGCAGAAGAGGTATAAAAAATCTTTTTCATGTTATTTATGATTGTTTTTGTTTAGGCTCTGCTTTTTTAATTAAAATGTGTGCAACATTTGTTACAAGGTAAAATCAAATTAATTCAGATGTGAATAGATTTTAATAATTGTTTATTGAAGTTTTACTAAAAAAAAAACATACAGTTAAATTCAGTTGAAAATATTATTGTGCTTTGTAGAATAGTTATATGATTGAAAATTATCATTTTTCACTCAGATTGCTATATATTCTTACAATCATTTTTTTCTAATTCCAAATTTATACAGTTTTAAAAAGATGTTCAACCTCACTGTCTTCTTTACTGTTGTTTATTTCTTTTTTCATTTAACAATATTGGAGGTTGAATGGGGTCTTATACTTTCTAGGCAGGCACCCTGCCAAGTTGTGCCCACAACCTAAATGTCTTTTTTTTTGGGGGGGGGGGGGTGTCTGGTCATGGGGCCTGAACTCTGGGCCTAGGCGCTGTCCCTCAGCTCTTCAGCTCAAGGCTAGCCCTCTACCACTTGAGCCACAGCGCCACTTCTGACTCTTTTCTTTTTGCTTATGTGGTGCTGAGGAATCGAACCCAGGGCCTCAGGCATGCAAGGCAAGCGCTCTACCACTGAGCCACCTTCCCAGCCATAAATCTCTTTTAATGAATCTCATTTAGCTTTTAACTTTTCCATTATAAAAATATTTTATGTTTGAAGTACACAGTTTATAGATTATAGTGAATAAATATGCCCTAAATTTAGACACATTTTTGTTTAACTTATTTTTATAGGTCTTACAGATACTTGAGTTATATGCTCGAGTATATGAAGAACTCCTGGCAATTCCTGTTGTGAGAGGAAGGAAGACTGAAAAGGAAAAGTTTGCAGGAGGAGACTATACAACAACAGTAGAAGCATTCATATCTGCTAGTGGGAGAGCTATCCAGGTACCACACTGCCACCACTGTGGGTAACAGGACCATCCATGGGCAGATACAGCAATTTCTTCTGTCACAGAGAAATACATTCTTGTTGTTGAAATAGGGTCTCATTATGTAGCACAAGCTGACCTTGAATTTATGGTGTGTCTGGCTTAGCCCTGGAATGCACACACTACAAATTGTTATCACACTCTGCCACACTAGAAATTCTTACTCCTGCGTAACTATAATTGTGTACCCATGTGTCAGCTTTCCCCATATTTCATTCTTACTTACCCCTGTGGTAATCACTATTTTATTCTAAATTTCCATGCAGTGAACTTCTTAAGAGTCAACATATGAGTGAGATCATGCGGTACTTTGGATTTTGTCTTCTCATATTTCACATAGCTTAACTTAATCCCCTTCCTTCCAAACAAAACAAAAATCCTGGTATGTTACTGTATAATAGGATAACAATAATGTATTATGCATTATTGTTTATGATATGATATGATTATGATAAATCTTGTATAAAGAAATTATAAATACTGGCAATAGTTATGAGCCTGTGGCTCATGCCTGTAATCCTAGCTACTTAGGGGGCTGAGATCCGAGGATCATGGTTCAATGCCAGCCCAGGCAGGAAAGTCTGTGAGACTCTTAAATTAACCACCAGAAAACTGGAAGTAGTGCTATGGCTCAAGTGGTAGAGTGCTTGCCTTGAGCTGAAGAGCTCATGGACAGTGCCCAGGCTCAGAGTTCAAGACCCATGACAGAGGAAGAAAAAAAAAAAGGTAAATACTTAAGGAGATATATTTAAACATTATGCATTGTCTACATATATTGAAATATCGAAATATGTTACAACATTGATGTGTTCAGTTTTTATGTTTTTATCTACCAACTAAATAATAAAGTTGGACGTGATTTAGGTATGCCTGTAATCTCAGCAGTTTAGGAAGTGGAGGCAGGAGCATCACTGTCTGAGCCTGGGCCAGGAAAAAGCTTGATAGAGAAACTAAAAGCAAACGGGCATAGCTCCTGAGTTTAAACCTCAATAACACAAGGGAAAAAAAAGATAAAGATAAATAAAAATATGTATTTAAAAGAAAAGTGTTTTAAGTACTTTCTAGTTTATCATATTTTTAGTGCATTCGCCATCTTTAAATCTCCAGGTCTAATTAATTTCTGAATCACCAAAGTATGGATACCTTTTTAAATATGTACTGAAAAGCCGGGCGCCAGTGGCTCACGCCTGTAATCCTAGCTACTCAGGAGGCTGAGATCTGAGGATCGCAGTTCAAAGCCAGCCCGGGCAGGAAAGTCCGTGAGACTCATCTCCAGTAAACTACTAGAAAACCGGAAATGGCCCTGTGGCTCAAGCAGTAGACGCTCACCTTGAGCTGAAGAGCGCAAGGACAGTGCCCAAGCCCCACGACCAACAAAAAATAAATAAATAAATAAAATTGTACTGAAAGTTATTTCTATATAAAGGGGTTTCCATAGCAAAACAATTATGTAGTTTTGGGTGTTCCCCCTGCCCTCCCCCCCCCCACTAATTCTGATCTCTCATTTATACTTACATTTTAAACCTATGCAGCCTCCAAAGTAGTGCTGTGTTAAAACATGTAATTTTATCATACCTTCAAAGGCATAAAAAAATTAGTAAAATTAAAGCTTATGTTTTTCTCTTTATTTTAGGGGGCAACATCACATCATTTAGGCCAGAATTTTTCTAAAATGTGTGAAATCATTTTTGAAGATCCAAAATCACCTGGTGAGAAGCAATTTGCCTATCAATGTTCCTGGGGACTGACAACGCGAACCATTGGTGTTATGATCATGGTGCATGGGGACAACATGGGCTTGGTACTGCCACCTCGTGTAGCTTGTGTTCAGGTAAAGAGAATATTTCCTTTTTCTGTTTTTCATTTCATTTATAAAAGAAGCCATGTTTATTAACTTGAAATCATGATTTGGAAGATGTGAAATTTGCAAGGCTGTTGTTTTGAATGATATTATTTGGGTAGGTTTCTCTGACAATAAAATAACAGAATATAGCTTAGACCTGTTTTGTACAACTGCATATTATTTGCATTGTTATTGTTTGTACTTATTTAATTTGTGTGTGTGTGTGTGTGTGTGTGTGTGTGTGTATGTGAATGTATGTATGTAGCAGTCCTAGAGTTTGGACTTTAGGCTTGGGTGCCGTCCCATTTTCTGGTGATTAATTGGAGATAAGAGTCTCTCGGACTCCTGGGCTGGCTTTGAAATGTGATCCTCAGATCTCAGCCTCCTGAGTAATTAGGATTACAGGAATGAGTGCCCTGCTTCTTTTAATTTCTAAAACTATATTGTAGCTGGCTACCAATAAACCAGGCTTTCTTTAATTTTTAAAGCTATTTTCTTTTTTTTCTTTTTTTTTTTTTGGGTCCGGTCGTGGGGCCTGAACTCTGGGCCTGGGCACTGTCCCTCAGCTCTTCAGCTCAAGGCTAGCGCTCTACCACTTGAGCTACAGCGCCACTTCCGGCTTTTTTCTTTTTGCTTGTGTGGTGCTAAGGAATCGAACCCAGGGCCTCATGCATGCAAGGCAAGTGCTCTACCACTGAGCCACCTTCCCAGCCCTTTAAAGCTATTTTCTATCCAGGACAGTGCTCAGTCCCTGAGTTCATGCCCAGAACCAGTGTGCGTGTGCACACACGCATGCACACACATATACACACACTACTTTGTATAAAACTTCTTTAGATCATTTTTTAATGTATAAAACTTCTTTAGATCATTTTTTAAAATGAGTTATAAGCCGGGCTCTGGTGGCTCACACCTGTAATCCTAGCTACTCAGGAAGCTGAGATCTGAGGATCACGGTTCAAAGCCATCCTGGGTAGGAAAGTCTGTGAGACTCTTATCTCCAATAAACCACTAGAAAACGGGAAATGGCACTGTGGCTCAAGCAGTAGAGTGCTGGCCTTGAGCTGAAGAGCGCAGGGACAGCGCCCAAGCCCAGAGTTCAAGCCCCATGACCGACCAAAATAATAAATAAAATGAGTTATAATAGACTAAATGAAATGGTAAGTCAACTGAAAATTCATTTATGTAGATAAGCAATAAATATATAAATAGTGGATAGATATTAGGTGTAGATTAAGAATCATGTAAGTTGATTAGGCTTTTTAAAACTTTTATATCTGGGAAGGAAAAACTAGAAGAGAGCAAAGGAAAGTAACATTGTCCAAAAAGAAATATACTCATTACTTAACTTATGAAACTGTAGCTCCTCTGTATATTACCTTTATAATAACAATTTAAAATTTTTTTTTTAAATTTAATTTAATTTTATTTGTGAACATACTGTACAGAGGAGTTACAGTTACATGGGCAGGATAATGCGTACATTTCTTATCAAGCATTGCAGCCTCCTCCTTTGTTTATCCTTCACATCCCTTCCCAGCCTCCCCCCTCCCCCCCAATCCCAATCCTTCTCCTTCCCCCCCCCCCCCAACGTTGTAAAGCTCGTTTTGGACATGACAACTTGTACTTCTCATTGTTACAACAGGTCCACCTGTATCCTTAAACAACTGGTTTTTCCCCATCTCCTCCACAAGTTATACTGACATCAAATATAGTGAAAGCAGGGGTTATACTGTGGAGGAGGGACATACAAAGCAACAAAGAGATAATCTTATAAATGTGTTAGAAACACATGCATGAAAGAAAAAAAAACATTAAAATACACATCTAAGGGTTCATTTTCCTGACATCACATTATCTGACCTTTTCCGCTTGACTCATACATATACTAGATATTACAAATAAGGGAAACCATGGGACCTACGTTTCTTTGGGCCTGGCTTACTTCAGTTAATATAATTTTTTCCAAGTTTTTCCATTTCCTAACAAATGGGGCAATGTCATTCTTTCTGATGGAGGCATAGAATTCCATTGTGTATATATACCACATTTTCTTGATCCATTCATCTACTGAGGGGCATCTGGGTTGGTTCCATATCTTAGCTATGGTAAATAATGCTGCAATAAACATAGTTGTCCTGGTAGCAAACAAGACAATTTAAAATTTTTAAAAACTTTAAATCTGGTAGGTTTTTACAGGACTTTAGTGCTTCTATGTGGTTATTTCTGTATGCTGGATTCTAGGTGGTGGTTATTCCTTGTGGTATTACAAATACACTTTCTGAAGAAGACAAAGAAGCTCTGATGGCCAAATGCAATGATTATCGACAGAGATTGCTCAATGTTAACATTCGAGTTAGAGTCGATTTGCGAGATAACTACTCTCCAGGCTGGAAGTTCAATCACTGGGAGCTCAAGGTAAATCCCTCAGTTCAATCTTTTTCTCCTGAATCTTCAACCTAGCTTTAGATTGTCTGTACATTTGTTTCTTTTTAACTTAAGGTTTTTTATGTTAGAAGTGAACTTGAAGGTTTTGTTTAAAATAAGTAAACCTCATGTAATTGATATATGATGTTTATGCCAGGAATTCATGTAAGTTGTTTGAACAGTTGGATATAATACTAGAATAATGCTGTATGGGAATCACTTGTCACTGTTGGGTTTTTATTCCACATATTTTACATCAGTTGATTTTCAGTTTGTCTATCCAAAGCCCATCTGAAATCTGGTTTATTATAATATAAATTTCACTTATCTATCATACAGTGCTGTTAAGATGAACTATGTGCTTAATTCCATTTTATGAACTTCTGGAATTTAAATCTTTTTCTTTAAAACCAAGAATTTAAGTTTTTTTCTTCATTCATTTATTTTTGGAATCAAGGTTTCACTATGTAGCCCAAACCTCAAATTTTGAATCCTTTTGTCTTAGCCTCCTGACTGCTGGGATTATAAATGGCCATCTATCATCTATTCCTGCCTAGCTTAGGGAGTCATAATTGGATCTAGAAATTAGGAGTCAAGAATATAATTCACATTATATAGGAAATTGGAATGAGAAAATGTAGTGAGATTTTCAAGTTTTGATGTAAGCTTGGTAATGCTGAGATTATTCATTATCAATACATTTATCATTCCCAAAGTTGCTAATATTTACAATATTACATTTTTTAATGTTCCTTGAGTGAAACTATCTTCTGGGCTGGAACACAGATGCTGCTTTCCTTGTATTTGGTAGTACTTTCTCTAGTGAGGACTTTAAGATGGACGTTTTCTCCTTTTGAAAAAGAAAGAAATGGGTCTTTCTTGCTTAGAAATAGCTTTTCAGTGGTATGTAGTGTAGCAGCTTCTCTAAACCAATTTACACATGCCTGGATACCAAATGTTAAAGGATAAACTTCTTACTGATACAAAGTTAATTAAACAGAAATGCCTCCATATTCCTTTCTCAATCACTCCCCTATTGCTGTTTGTTTTGAGTCCCTGGTAAACCTGCACTTTGTGAGTGGAGATACTGCTAATTTGAGCTATACTGTAGAGTCCATGTCTTCATTCCTGAGAAAGAAAATAAAGCCCTTAAGTTTTTAACTTCATGCCCAAAATTGAAAAAAAACATGAGAAAGAGTTTGACCAGCTATTGAAAAGTATGGATACAAATCAAGCTCTAAGTATACTCCAGAAGTTTCAGGTTTTAGATCATTTTCTTCTTTCTTTCTTTCTTTATTTTATTATTTTATTTATTTATTTTTTTTGTCAATTGTGGGGCTTGAACTCTGGGCTTGGGCACTATCCCTGTGTTCTTCAGCTTAAGATGAGCGCTTTACCGTTTGAGCCACAGCACCACTTCCGGTTTTCTAGTGGTTTATTGGAGCTAGGAATCTCATGGACTTTCCTGCCCAGGCTGGCTTTGAACCGTGATCCTCAGATCTCAGCCTCCTGAGTAGCTAGGATTACAGGTGTGAGCCACCAATGCCCGGCTTAGATCATTTTCAATTTGAGATTTTTATAGATGCTTAAGTAATTATGTCTATAAATATTTGAAAATGTGAGGAACTGAAATGTGAAACACGTTTGGTCTGAAGCATTTTGAACTAAAGATGCTTACTCTTAGCTTTATTTTCCCCCTTCTATGCTGGGATTGAGCCCAGTGATTCATTTGTGGTAGGCAACCACGTCACCTCAGCTATACTTCTGGTCCAATGTAGTATTTTTTTTTGGGGGGGGGGGGGGTCCGGTCGTGGGGCCTGAACTCTGGGCCTGGGTGCTGTCCCTCAGCTCTTCAGCTCAAGGCTAGCCCTCTACCACTTGAGCCACAGCGCCACTTCTGGCTTTTTTCTTTTTGCTTATGTGGTACTGAGGAATCGAACCCAGGGCCTCAGGCATGCAAGGCAAGCGCTCTACCACTGAGCCACCTTCCCAGCCCCCAATGTAGTATTTTTAATACCATCTTAGTTCCATTTGCAATCAGGAAGACTGAAAGAATAATTTTCTATTGCTATTGAAAAGAAAACAAATGTGCTTTTATGCATAAATTTGTAAATAATTACTTAGAAAAACTTACCACATGCTTTTTTTAAATTTTATTTTATAGGGAGTACCAATTAGACTTGAAGTTGGGCCACGTGATATGAAAAGCTGTCAGTTTGTAGCTGTCAGACGAGATACTGGAGAAAAGCTAATAATTGCAGAAAATGAAGCTGAAACTAAACTTCAAGCTATTTTGGAAGATATCCAAGTTAACCTTTTCAGAAGGTAGTTTCTAAGTATCTTTTGTCTCATATTAAGTTTGCAGAAATGGACTGTTTCTCTCCTAGACTAATTTGGGTTAACTTTAGATCCAGGCTTTTAAGATATAAATGCAAGAGATCAAGGCATTGATGCTCACCTGCTAGGTACAGGTCAGTAGTATCTGAGAAGTTTTAGTAAATGCCAGTGCTTGATACCTTCCCTGAGATAGTAATTCAGTTGGTCTAGACAGAGCCTGGTAACTATAGTATAAAATGATCTCTGGGTGGGTATAAGGTAACCAAGGCCAAGAATCTCATCATTGGGTTTGGGACTGTTGGATAGGGAGGCTTTAGACCTGCTCTGACCTGTGGAAAGGAATCTTTTAGAATCATAGATCGTAAGGTGATCTCTAACGCACTAGAAAAATTGTGGTATTGGTGTCCTGTTTTTCCTGCCTACCTGAAGCAGAGATTAAGGCCACACCAGTAGCAATAGACTCTCCATTTGAGGGAAAGCAGTGCCTGCTTTGTATTTGTTAATTTATAATACCCTTTGTTTAATGCACATTCAGCCTCACATCTGGGAGAAATAGAAACTAAGATTTGTTTGTGTACAACTGATAGAATTTGTCAGAATTTAGAACAAGTAACTCCATCAGTAATTTTGTCTTAATGTTCAAATAGGGCTTTTGGTACAGTGGTTCTATTCCAGCGGAGCTTAGTGAATAACTTTTGTAGTCTTAACGGCGTGAAGTCAGTGTTGCAGGTCAGGATGGTTCTCCTCCCCCTGGTTATTCAGAAACCTTAATTCCTTTTATTTCATTGGATTTGCTATCTCCTAGAGCCTGGCCTCTAGTCATTTACATGGTCAAAACTAGATGACAGTCATGTCTAGACATGTTGGTTGGGCGGGGGGAATGTTCAGGAGCCATGCATACTGCCTTCAAGCTTCAGCCTAGGGAGTGCATATGACTTTTCTCACTGCACAGGCTCATCTCACTATAGTAACAAGGAAGGGAAGAAGCAGCCGCATGCTTGGAAGACAGCTAGTAGTGGTATAGCGTTCATGTGGTCAATAATGTTCTTTTTCCTTCATCACCACTCATGAGTGACTAAATAAGTGGCTTTGATGTGGAAGAGAATATTTATTTGTGGCATGTCTAAAACCTGGGATTCTTAGGAGAGGTATTCTTACATGGTATGTGAAATGTCTTGAGTTGGGCACCAGTGGCTTCTATTGACTCAGGAGGCTGAGATCTCAGGATCTTGGTTCAAAGCGAGCCTGACAGAAAAACATTAAGATTCTTTATTTCCAATTAACTACCAAAAGGACTTAAAGTGTTCCTGTGGCTCAAGTGATAGAGCTCCACCCTTGAGCAAAATAGCTAAGGGACAGCACCTAGGCCCTGAGTTCAAGTCCCAGTGCCAGCACAAAAAGAAAAAAGGAAATATCTCGACTAATATATATTCATGTGCTTTTCTTTTTCAAAATATCTTAACACCCTTGTGTTTGCTTATCACGACAGTCATAAATAGTAGTTACTAGATTTTATTTTACAGTATTTACTACTTTTCCAGTTCTGTAGAAAGAAAACTTTTCAAAAGTAACAGACTGCTGGGCTCCGGTGGCTCACACCTGTAATCCTAGCTACTCAGGAGGCTGAGATCTGAGGATCATGGTTCAAAGCCAGCCTGGGCAGGAGGGTCCATGAGACTCTTACCTCCAGTAAGCCACTAGAAAACCGGAAGTGGTGCTGTGGTTCAAGTGGTAGAGCGCTCGCCTGAGCTGAAGAGCACAGGGACAGTGGCCAGGCCCAGAGTTCAAGCCCTATGACCTACAAAAAAAAAAAGTAACATATTACCACAGGTAGGAAGTGGATAGCAAGGAATAGAATGTTACTCAGTTGAAGTCCGAGTGTCAGTGGCTCACGCCTGTAATCCTAACTACTCAGGAGGCTGAGATCTGAGGATCACAGTTCAAAGTCAGCCTGGGCAGGAAACTCTGTAAGACCCTTATCTCCAATAAACCACTCAGAAAACCCACAAGTGGCACTGTGGTTCAAGTGGTACAGACTGCTCACCTTGAGCTGAAGAGCTGAGGGATCGCACCCAGGCCGAGAGTTCAAGCCACACCACCGACAAAAAAAATAATAATGTTACTCAGTTGTGTCTCAATAGCAATAACAAAAGCAATGGTTGCCTACTGTGTACTTGGCAAATTTCCCACACCTTCATGTTCATGTAGCACTGTGATAAAGTGCTGATCTCCTTGAAGGTCACTCCTAGTAAAGGAAGTTAACTTTCAAATTGAGTTCTTCCAACTTCGGGTTTTTGTGGTCTTTTTTTTTTTCCTAATTGTTGCTTATGTGTTTTTATAAAACTAATTTGTAAAACATATTTTCTAATACTTTTGGTAGGGCTTCTGAAGATCTTAAGACTCATATGGTTGTGGCTAATACATTAGAAGATTTTCAGAAGATACTGGATTCTGGAAAGGTAAGAGATTTCCACAAACTGGGTTTTTTGTTTGTTTGTTTGTATTGTTTTGTTTTTAACAGTCACAGAAGAGATTGTAATTATTTAGCATTATATGTTATATTCTGCTGGTTCCCCAAAGTTCTGTCACTTTTTGGCTAACACTTGTAAACTCATGCTTAGTAATTTTGCCTAAAAAGACATTTGTTTGTTATGGACCCTAACTTCATTGTGTGATCATTTCATTTTGGTATCTATTCCTACAGTAAACAATATTCTAGTTTCAGAAATAAAACACAAGGTTAAAAGTCAGTTTCTCTCAATTCCCTGACTATACATTTCATTATATGTACGTGGCTCTTAGTCGATTGCTCTTTCTGAATAACATGGAAGAAAATGCTGCTCAGGTTTAAGCCTTCCTTTTTAAATGAGTGGCTACTTTGGGCTCCGTAAAGATTTTTTCAACTTAGGTAGTTTTTGACTGAGATTTCATTGGTTTTGTGTATTCTGTATATGTAACTGTCCTAGTTGTAAATATAATTTTGTAACTGATGTGCAAAGTTATTTATTATTGGAGTGAATCACTTATGGACTTTAGAATTCTACCTTACATGTTTGAGTACGCAACCAGTCCCATATCCCCAGGTTACAAATGAGAAAATCATCATGGGCCAGAGTCTAAAAGCCCAAGCTTCATAGTGTTGAACCTGGTGCTAGAAGTTAGATTCTGCTTCCTCCCCCACTGCTGTTCAGTTTAATGTACTTTTCTCTGTATTTTTTTAATGTTGAGAATATAAACAACACTCTGATTTATGAATGCTAGTATGTCTCATTGTACAAGCTGGTAATATTAATCTATGTGATTCTCAGTTTAATAACTTGTAAAAAAGTACAATATAGATCTCGAAATGCCCTTCAGATGGGGCTGGGAAGGTGGCTCAGTGGTAGAGCACTTGCCTTGCATGCTCAAGGCCCTGGGTTCGATTCCTCAGCACCACATAAGAAAAAAGCCGGAAGTGGCACTGTGGCTCAAGTGGTAGAGTGCTAGCCTTGAGCTGAAGAGCTGAGGGACAGCGTTCAGGCCCCACGACCGGACCCAAAAAAAAAAAAAAAATTGCCCTTCAGATTCATAATTCCTCGGGGTTTAGCCTTTTATTATTGTTTTATTGCCTTTGTCCTTTTTTTACAATTTATTTATGATATTTTCCTTTTGCCTCATAAATTTTTTATATAAAATTTTCTTTTACTATAGAAATATGGTGGTCAATTTACAACATAGTCTATTAGAGAAATCGCATAAGAGTTAATAAATCAATAGGGTAACTCAGTTAATCCATTGATTTCAAAGAAATGAATCTCAAAAGGTATTAATGGGAGTCGAATCTTTTATCCTGTTATTAATAAATTACTGCACAAATTTTAACTTCTATTATTATATGTTGAAATTTTTATTTTCTTTCTACTCTTGTCTGTTGTTATAGATGAAAAAAACAGAAAGACATTTGATTTATAGGATTTTATTTTGGTAGTTTTTCCAAAGGATGGGCTTAAGCCAATGAAAAACAATGCCTTTCTGTATGTGGTTTATTCTTATATATTAATAGTAGTTAATTTTGTTGAGCTCATGATTTTTGAATATTACTGTTTCTTATCATTTACTTTTTTTTCCTAAAATCTTTTTTTCTGGTATTAGGGACTGAGAACTACATGTGTTATACCCGTTGAACCCCACGCTCTTTTGTTTCTACTTCTTGTTTTTTGACTTAGAGTCTTGCTAACTCTGTTGAGACTGGCCTTGACCTCTGCATCCTTCTGTTTCCACCACCATGATTATAGGCATGTACCACTACTTCTAAGGGTTTACAACATTCCATACTACAAAAATGTATTTCTAAGAATAAATAGTTGGATGCCAGTGGCTCATGCCTGTAATCTAGCTTCTCAGGAGGCTGAGATCGGAGGATCACAGTTGGAAGCTAGCTCAGGCATTTCTTATCTCCAGTTAACCACTCAAAAACTGAAAGTGGTGCTATGGCTCAAATGGAAGAACCTAGCCTTGAGCACAAAGAGGCTCGGGGACAGTGCCTAGGCCCTGAGTTCAAACTCCACAACCAAAAAAAGAAGAAGAAATATAAAAATCATTAAATTAAGTTGAAAAACTTTTCACAGCTGAATAACTAAAAATGTCTATTGTCTCTTTCATATTAATGAAGGTCAAGCCCCAAAAGCCAGAATTTTCAAGTCTTATCCTCTAAACATTACTTTGAAACTAGAAAGAATTAAAGCATAGTTTTTATAAAATTACTACTTAGGAATTCAAATAAAACTTCTGTTGAATTTGTTTATATGCTACGACTATTTTACATTTTTTTAATTTTGTTTTGAAGATACAGACCATCTTGGTATTTTTTTAAGGAAGAAGAAAATTATAAAAAGCCGGGTGCTGGTGGCTCATGCCTGTAATCCTAGCTACTCAGGAGGCTGAGATCTGAGGATCGCGGTTCAAAGCCAGCCCGGGCAGGTGGCGCTGTAGCTCAAGTGGTAGAGTGCTCGCCTTGAGCTGAGGAGCTGAGGGACAGCGCCCAGGCCCAGAGTTCAAGCCCCACGACTGACAAAAAAAAAAAAAAAAAAATTATTAGTTACCAGATTTATATGTATTTATTTATTTATTGCCAGTCCTGGGACTTGATCTCAGGGCCTGGGCACTGCCCTGAGCTTCCTTTTTTTGCTCAAGACTAGTACTCTACAACTTAAACCACAGTGCCATTTCCAGCATTTTCTATTTATGGGGTACTGAGAAATAGAACTCAGGACTTCATGCATGATAGGCATGCACTCAGTCACTACGCCACATTCCCAGCCCCTATTTTTCTTTTTTCTTTCTTTTTTTTTTTTTTTTTGTCTGTCGTGGGGCTTGAGTTGTAGGCCTGGACGCTGTCCCTCAGCTCATCAACCCACGGCTAGTGCTCTACTTGAGCCACAGTGCTACTTCCAGCCTTTTCTGTTTATGTGGTGCTGAGGAATCGAACCCAGGGCCTCATGCATATGAGGCAAGCACTGTACCGCTGAGCCACCTTCCCTACCCCCTATTTTTCTTTATATTAAGTCTGTGGTTCTTCACTGCATAGTTGAAGGCAGATAAGAAAGTTTTTCCCCTGTTGTATCTATTATCATGAATTCCGCTCATCCATCCATCTGTTGTGATGTTGAGGATCAAACCGATGGTCTCAGGAATCATAGACAGGCCTGCTAAGCTAAAACTCTCAGTTTTTTCATGATTTTTTTGGTCAGTCATGGGGCTTGAACTCAGGGCATGGGTGCTGTCTGTGAACTTTATTACACGGAGCCACAGCTCCACTTACTGGTTTTCACATGGTAATTGGAAATAAGAGACTTGTGGACTTTCCCCAATCTCTGATGTCAGCCTCCTGAGTAGCTAGAATTGTGTCAGCCACAAGGACCTGGCTTTATCATGAATTTTATGAATACACATTTTATCATGCTTTTTTGTTTGATAACTCTCAATAGAAGGAATTAACTGTTATTTTGGTTTGTATCTCTGGGTTTGTTTTTGCTTTAGCTTTCATTGCACCAAGAATTTCTATATTGAAACTACTTCAAATGTTTATTCTAGCCAATCTCTGCCATTTTCTTCCATTCTTGTCAAAACTCTTCCAAGTCTTACCACGAAATTTATCACCTCTTTATTGTTTATCAGAAAAAGTTTATAAGCTGGGAATTAGATTGATATATTGAACTGAGTAAACTGAGAGTCTTGGTTAACTATCTTTTTGCCTTCCCCCTGTGTTAATAGGGGAAAGTTGGTGAGGAATCTGGGGACATTGGTATTATTTCTTTTCTATTCTTTTTTTTTTTTTTTTGCCAGTCCTGGGGCTTGAACTCAGGGCCTGGGCACGGTCCCTGAGCTTCTTTTGCTTAAGATTAGCACTCTAGCACTTGAGCCACTTACAGCTTTTTCTGTTTATGTGGTATTGAGGAATCCAGCCCAGAGCTTCATGCATGCCTAGGCAAGCACTCTACCACTAAGCCACATTCCCAGCCCGAATATTACTTCTAATAGCTCTTGTATCTCCCTTTCATAGAGCTATAGATTACCATCGGCTGCTTGTTAATTTCTGATGTGTTAATGATGTTCTTCGCATCATTAACATTAATCTCCAGGATTTGGGCAGTGGGCTACCCTATAATTATTATTGCAGATAGATCTCATTTTGTGGTGGACATACTATGAAAGAACTGGGAGAAATCTTAATTCTGGTCTAGTCAAAACTTTACATTGTATTGAGGAAAAAAATCTAAAGATTTTTAAACAAATGTAAAGTTTCAAAATTAAGACAAAGGCCTAAGTGACCATTATTCAACTTTTTTTAAAATTTTATTTATTTTTTAATTTTAATTTATTTTCTAGTGTTGGTTCAGTCCTGGGGCTTGAACTCTTTTTTTTTTGTGGTAGTTTAGTGGATCTAAGAATCTTACAGACTTGCCTTCCCAGGCTGGCTTTGAACCATGATCCCCAGATCTCAGCCTCCTAAGTTGCTGGCACCCAAGTTACAGAGTGCGAATTATTCACTTAGCCATAGCCTATCAGAAATGTCAGGTCTTCCTGATTGTTGCTATTGCAATCATCACTTTAAAAACCACTATGAAGTGTCTCCTGTTCATACTCCCTGTAGCCATCAGGTATGTAAAACAGCCATTAGTACATATCTGATAAGGTTCTGCTGAGTGTACTATGTTGTAGCCGGGTTATTAGGACATGTTACAGTACTGCAGAGATTCCTTCAGTGTGTCTTATTCTGAGTTTGGATTTTTGATGGTAGAGCAAGAAAATTCTGAGCAAGTTTCTAAGTACTGTGGCTAGAAAGAGACTGGGAGCCCCATACTTTTTGCCATGAGTTATAGAGAAAACTCAAATCCTTCTATAGATAGAACGGGTTAGAAATACTGAACACTTCTCCTTTTCTTATTAGATTGCTCAGATTCCATTCTGTGGGGAAATTGACTGTGAAGACTGGATCAAAAAGACCACTGCCAGGTAAACATCATTAACTAACATGCTTGTGAAGTCTTGTATCTGTGAGAGAATGCGTTATCCAGTATGGATAACTGGAATTCTTATTTGCTTATTTCCAGGGATCAGGATCTTGAACCTGGTGCTCCATCCATGGGAGCTAAAAGCCTTTGTATCCCTTTCAAGCCACTCCGTGAGCTGCAGCCTGGAGCCAAATGTGTCTGTGGCAAGAACCCTGCCAAATTCTACACCTTGTTTGGTCGGAGTTACTGAAAGATAAAACAAACGTCACTCTCTAGTCCTCCTGACTTTTTAAAAAGTTGATACTAATAATCTTCTCATACACTTTTTTGATTTTTTAAAATAAAAGGAGGTCACATGGATGAACAGCTATTCTTATGAATAAATTAACAATGAAAAGATTTTTCTGTAAACAACTCCAGTAATAAATATCATGAACTAATAGTGCTTCATGTATTCTTTTCTCTCTGAAATACCTAAATTACATGCACAAATTTCTATCAAGAGATGGGTCACTGAAAATTAGTTATGGTCTACCTACCTGTCGTCCTTCTGTGGTTCCTAATACTGAGCCTAAAATCACCACAAATAATAATAAACTTTTCCTTGAGCTTCTCTCCCTTTAGTTACCATTGGATCTCTAGAAGTCAAGTTTTAATTTATGAAGGAGTAGTCAATCAGCCCTTCTCCTACTTCTTTCTTTCCGTCTTTCCTTACCCTTCTTTTGCCCTCACAGTGGTGTTTTTCACCAAAATCAGTGGTGATACCCTAGGTCAGAGTGAATGTTCAATTATTCTTGGCTTGCTAAATCATGACTGCATATGATACTCTTTTTATTATGCTTATTTCTATGATTTGCCCCTTTACCTTCTGACTTTTTCGTAGTTATGATTCACCAGCTTTTCTTCCTTGGTTTGCTGCTAATATATTTATATATTAAATATCCATACATGGCCTTCTTCTCATACTGTCTCATCAACCTCATCTAATCTCAGTTTCTAACAGCATTAATAGGCAAACAACTCTTCACATTTGTATCTCCAGGTCTGAGCTCTAGACCTGTTTTAGTTACACTAAATTCTCTATGTTCCATCAACATTTTCGGGTTGGCATGCCTCCAAAATCTCATTTCACTCTCTATCCCAGTCTTTGCTGCCTGGAAGAACAGCTCTGACCCTGTAAACTCAAACAGGAAACCGGAATACTAGGCAGCTGCTCTAACTCTGACATCCATAGTCTTTAGCCAGCAAAATAAATAGCTGTTAGGTTGAATGTGTTTATACCTTCCCTTCCATAGATTAATCTGTTAATCTCGAAGCCAGTCTCTACATTTCCATGGGTGCTTTTGTGTTTGTCTTTTTTTTGGTTTACACCTTGAAATCCTTTTGTGGCTGGCCATCATTTGCCTACTTCAGCAGACTCTTCCTGTCTTTGCACCCCAACCAGGTAGGGCCTCTTGCTGTTTCCCATCTATGTCTCTTTTCCTGGAATACTTTTTACCTTTAATTTCTAGTATCCTTTGTAATGTCTTCCTTCAGCACTCTGTTCCAGTAGGGTTTTCCATATTGACAGTGATCAATACACCAGTAAAGAGGAAGTGCTCCAAAAGGGCCTACATTCTAAGCAGTTTTGAAAGATGAATAGAATTTTAGTGTAAATGGAGGAAGAAAAATGTGTCAGGCAGAGGAAGTAAGATTCAAAGGCAGTAAAGTACCTGGCTATGTGTAAGAAACAGGAACTGTTCTTACATTGATAGGAAATTGTTACTTGAAAGCATACTAACTACAGTATGCTTTAAGAATAATGTCATAACTATATGAGAGCAAGTGAAATATTTTAGCCACATCTTTGAACTCTGAATCAGTTTCATGATGGATGGCAATTCTTCATTACTTTTCCATGGTTAGAAGCAATGTAAACTGCTTATTTCTTAAATAGGAAAGAAGTCTGATACCCATTAGAGAGTTCCTCTACCTCATAGAGTAAGGTAGAACAGCTAACACATGGTGACAGCTATTGCTATGACAGGATCAGCTGGAAGTTACTCCTAACAGCTTTAAAGTAGTCACTTATCCTCTTAGTATTCAGGGAAACAATTAGAAGCTAAAGTGTTGAGGCTCTTTGATTTTGTACTTTGTGCTGGTTCTGGGGCTTGAGCTCAGGACCTGAGCACCATCTCTGAATTTTTGCCAAAGGCTAGTGCTCTACCACTTGAACCAAAATTCTACTTCTAGTGGCTAATTGAAAGTGACTTTCCTGCATAGGCTGGCTTCAAACAGTGATCCTTAGATCTCAGTTTTCTGAATAGCTAGGATTACCCCCATGAGCCACTACCACCAGCCTAAAGTGTTTTTGTTTTTGTCAGTCATGGGACTTAAACTCAGGGCCTGGGTGCTATCCCTGAGCTTTTGTGTTCAAGCCTAGTGCTCTACCACTTGAGCCACAGTGCCACTTCCAGTTTTCTGGTGGTTAATTAGAGATGAGTCTCATGTACTTTCCTGCCTGGCCTGGCTTTGAACTGTGATTGTATCAGCCTCCTGAGTAGCTAGGACACAGATATGAGCCACCAGCATCTGGCTGTTTTCTTTCTTTTTTTTTTTTTGGGGGGGGGGGTCCAGTTGTGGGGCCTGAACTCTGGGCCTGGGCGCTGTCCCTCAGCTCTTCAGCTCAAGGCTAGCGCTCTACCACTTGAGCCACAGCACCACTTACGACTTTTTTTTTTAACATGCTTTTATTTAACTATACATTTATTGGTGGTGTAAACTAGGAAGATGGATGGATTTTTTTTTTGTGGGGGGGGGTCCGGTTGTGGGGCCTGAACTCTGGGCCTGGGTGCTGTCCCTCAGCTCTTCAGCTCAAGGCTAGCACTCTGCCACTTGAGCCAGCCTTTTTTTTTTTTTTTCTTTCTGCTTATGTGGTGCTGAGGAATTGAACCCAGGGCCTCATGCATGCAAGGCAAGCACTCTACCACTGAGCCACCTTCCCAGCCCATCTGGCTGTTTTTTTTTTTCCTTTTTTTTTTTTTTTAAAGCTGGTCTATAAAGGAAATGTGAAGTCATTCATAGACTAATTACCACTTGTTTTGTGCCTGAACTAATCAGAAGAGCCTTAAATATGCTGTCCAAAAGGAATTCACTGTTCAGAGAAATGATTAAGGACTTTTTTCCCTGAAATTTAGATTTAGGTAAAATATCAAAAAAGTGCCTTCTAAAGCCAGATGCTGGTGGCTCACACCCATAATCTTAGCTACGCAGGAGTTCTATCGTTAAGCACAAAGAGTCTCAGGGACAGTGCCCAACCAGAGTTCAGCCCCAGGACCAGCAAAAAAAAATGAACAAAAACAACAAAAATTCTTAAGAAGACAGGACCTTGTTATCTTCAGACTGTTTTGGCTCTTGCTTGTCACTTTTACTATAATTAGAATATGTCAGTCATTTATTTAGCAAATTGCCTACTTTGCCCAGGGCCAGAAGATAGATATAGTAGTAGGTAAAACTAAAAGTAACTTCATTTTCTCAGTTCTGTTTTCTGGTATTAGTTGTATTTAAGATGCAGAATCAGGCAGTCTGTGCATTGAGCTGAGTGACCCAGCTGAGTGACCCATTGAGCTGAGTGAGCAGACAGCCATTCTATGCTTGAGCTTAACCTTGTTCTGCCACGCCAGTAGGCCTAAAATAACAAGCATAAACGTATTTTCCTTGTGAGTCAGCTAAGGCAATGTCAAATCAATGTCTCCAACATTTTGGAAAGTTTTAATAATGTTTGGAACATCAATGGTACTGCAATGATAGAAAGCATTTTAAGTCACATAATGGAAATGTCACCAAAAACCAAGTTGTTGTTGTTGTTGTTGTTTTTTGGGGGGGGGGGGGTGGTCCGGTCGTGGGGCCTGAACTCTGGGCCTGGGCGCTGTCTCTCAGCAATTTAGCTCAAGGCTAGCACTCTACCACTTGAGCCACAGTGCCACTTCTGGCTTTTTTTCTTTTTGCTTACATGGTGCTGAGGAATCGAACCCAGGGCCTCATGCATGCAAGGCAAGCACTTTACCACTGAGCCACCTTCCCAGCCCAAAAACCAAGTTTTGAGAGAAATAACTTTTTTTGGTGGGGGGCGGCGTCAGTTCGTGGGGCTTGAACTTGGTCTGGGCACTGTCCCTGAGCTCTTCAGCTCCGGGTGAATGCTCAACCACTTGAGCCACACTACCGCTTCCAGTTTTCTGGTGATTAATTGGAAATAAAAGTCTCACGGATGTTCCTGCCCAGGCTGGCTTTGAACTGCGATCCTCAGATCTCAGCCTCCTGAGTAGCTAGGATTACAGGCATGAACCACCAGCACCTGGCCTATCATTAATCTTTTTACTCTCCATTCTTTTGTACCTACTTCACACTGCCCTGAAGTCATGGCTGATAGGATCAGGCAGGAGTTCCAGGCTTTTTTTGCTCTATGTAGTCCTTCAACAGCATAGACTAGACTCATCCACATTAGGAGGCAGTCTGCTCTACTGTCTATGGCTTCAAATGTTAACCTCATCCTGAAACATTCTCAAACCCCCAGAATTTCCCTTTGAAACCAAGGGAACACATAAAAGTAACTATCACATCAGATTATTCTTATTACTAGTTTAGTTTTTTGCATTACTAGGGTTTGAACTCTGGGCCTTCTGTTTGCTAAGTAGGTGTTCTATTGCTTGAGCCACACCCACAGGCTTTTGCTCTAGTTATTTTTGAATCAAAGTCTCCATTTTTTCCCCACCAACCTGGACCACAACTTCTTATGCATGCTACCGGTATAGCTGGGATAGCAGATTACCTCACTGGGACCAGATTTTTCATTGCACAGGTCTCAAACCATAATGCTCCCAATCACGGTCTCCTGAGTGGGATACAGACAAGCATGCGACAGCCTGTATTTCTTTTAAAGTAGTAATAGTGAGGCTGTTCAAAACAATACAGGCCACTATTATTTTCCACATTGGTAAACCCCAAAGAGCTGTAAGGGTCTAACAGGTCTTAGGATTTTTTTCCCCCAATTGTGGGACTTGAACTCAGGGCCTGGGCCCTGTCCTTGGACTTTTTTTGCTTAAAGCTAGGGCTCTACCCCTTTGAGCCACAGTTCCACTTCCAATTTTTAGGTAGGTCGTTGGAGATGAAAGTCTCACTGCCTTTCCCACTCCGGTAGGCTTTGAACTGTGATCCTCACATCTCAGCCTCCTTACTAGCTAGAATTACAGGCATAACCCACCAGCACCTGGCAGATCTTAGGATTTTTAAAGAATTTTTAAGAATGAAATTTCCTTGCACCATAGTTTGTCTTTTATCCTGAAGCTATGAGGGATTGTCTTTAGCTCCTCCGTATTAAAAATGCATCTCCATGCCTCAATGAGAAGAATGTTCTTTTCTTATTTATGAAGACTGGAAGGAGGGTAGTAGTTTATTCCTGGTC